CAGTCACCCCCTCACCTGACCCTTCCCTGCCCTGTAAGTTGCTCTTGGTATCTCTTTCTAGTTCCACTACCTGCAGTCACAGGGATTTCTCACTCGGGCAGTGAACCCACTCTTGCTTTTCCTTGGGAGCCCCAGCAGCCAGTGGGGTTTTGGGCACACCTGGTGCCCATTTGGTATTTGTGTTCCTCTCAACATCACTGCAGTTTGCTTAGTGGAATCACTGAAAAGATGTGTGAATCACTCACCCAGAAGTCTTTGCTTTTCACTGGTGGAATACACAGGCACGATATTTTGGAAGATCACTTCTAAAATTTATAGTGGCTAAATGACCTGGAGGAGATGGATTTGCTGGTTTAGGATTCAGATTTTGTTGCTGTTGTTTAACCTTTGTGGAATATAACTGCATTGGAGCCTGAAGTCACCAGCTATAGCAGATATTTTAAGTTACTGAAAAGAACTATTCAAGTAATTTTGTTAAATCACTGGATATTTATGAAATGTCCTAGTGGGTTTAGCAATTGTCTCATAGTCATTTGGTGCTGCAGCTTATGCTGTTGGTGTTTGAGCTACTTCATTTAAATCATAAATCACACCTGGGAAATAATCACCAAAATTATTTCTGACTTGCATGTTCACCCATCAGAGCCTAATCTCAGTTCCTTCTGTTCTTCAGCATATCTCCTCTTCTTTAAATTCTGGTCTAATGTTCACCTCTTTGCCTTCATCAGTTCTTTTTGCATTCACCCCCGATTTCTGGAAGACTTTCTTACTCATAACTGATGTTTGGAATTTGAGGGTCTGTCCTGCAGGGAGTGTTGAATAAAGCAATCTATGAATTTCTGATGCAAATTTTCCTCAAAACTTTGCTCTAATTGTTTGAGCCTAAATGTTATATTAAACATAATTTCTAAGTGTGATGGCTAAAGAGCTAAAAACATTTTTTGTTTCTTCTATTAAGAGATTGCCACTATCCTTTGTTTTGAAAAAAACATTTGATTGATTCAAAAGTATTTAATCAATTAATGTGAAGACAAAGAAAATTAAAGAAATTCCTGTGTACTGGGTACATGTGTCTTAGCTGTGCCTCAATGGTCGTGGAAATGATTATTGTAATATCTGAGGCAATTGCTTTGTATTATTGCAATAGTAACTTGCACTTCAGTCAGACAATATCTACAGATTGGGGATTTTTTGTAATGAAATAGTTCAGTTACACAGGCTATGGATAACAGAAAAGAGGGTCACAGTCACTGCAAAGTCACTGTTTTTAGTGCTCCCCAGGGGCCATGGGAGTTCCACACAGGCTCTGTCAGGACCAGCCGGTGCTCATCCCACTGCCCCCATCGCAGACATTGGGCACCTCTGGCCAGTTTCATACCTAAACTATTTAACTCATATTTTGAAGCACATTACCTGCTTCTAAAAGCTGCATATCCAAATGGCAGGAGCTCAGATATTATACCTCAGTCAAGTTTTCTGGGTTTGGGTTATCTGCAGTTGGTACAACTCTGGTCCTTCAGCAATCATGTGTCAAGGTGTTTTGGCCAGTCTTTCCAAGGTACAAAGCTAAACACAGTGGTGGTATTAGAAACTATTCATTATTACTGGAATGAGGCTATTGAAAAATCTTTGGGGTTTTGTGTGTTCAGGAAAGAATGATAAAACATGGGACAAAATTTAACAACCATCCGTTTTGGTACAGCATTTAAAATGACAGGAGATACCATGGATTGAAAAATCATCTAAGTGCCAAAAGCACTTACTTAAAGAAATTATAAGAATTTTCTTTTGGAATAGCTCCAGGAATCTGCTATATGTTCTTGGGGTAAGGTTTTTTTATGGACAGAAACCTTTATAATGTTACAAAGGAAAATAAATGCTGTCAACAACATTTTTATGCATCATTTCCAGTACCAGAGAGACGCTGAAGAATAAACGTTGCTAATAACGGTAAGGCAAACATTTTTGTATAATGAAAAATTGATCTAGGCACCAACAGGCACCAACAAACTTTTGGAAAAAATTTCTATCTGTGTCAAGGAGACAGTGGACTTGTACTTGGTTTTTCAGGTGTGAGGCCAGACACTCAAGCTGTTGTAGGCTGCACCCAGACCATTCTGTTAAATGGTTGATTCCTTGTTAAATATATGAGCTGAGAGTGATGCAGAGAATCAACAGAAACCTGGACATTAGTACCATCCTGTGGGTGCAGGCGAGGAGCACAGAACTCCCTTCCCTTCAGTGGGTTATGAGGATGGCTAGTTGGAGTATAATGTACAGTAGCACATCTTCCTAAAGTGATTTTTTTCTTGATAAAAATCAATTCAGAAAACTGGACACAAGCCTGAAAGCAACTACAGAAGACAACACACATGTTCATGTTCAAAGCCTCTGTTGTCCAAAAATTGTTTTGTTAGATTTATTTATTTAAGATTATACTCAAATGAAAGACATAGACTGGGATGCTGTGGAATTTGACTTAAGCCCCCCAGCTGGGATACTGTAGCTCTCAAAACTCCAATGGACAGTCTGGAGAGCTTTTGTTCTGTCATGTCGGGTTCTAAATTAATATTCCAGCTTTCCCATTCAGGAAAACAAACTGGTCTCCAGCAATATGTGGTTCTAATTAGGAGAAGACATAATTAATGTTTCCTAAGGGTGTCTCTCCCAAGACAAGTGTGGCTAAATACACGTGAATACAGAGTGCAGCAGGGATCCTGAGGCTTGCAGAGCTCCAAGTGATTTAAAATATGTACTTTGATATTCAAATAGGAGTTAAGTGATTTGAAATTAGTTGTGGATATTATGTCATAATAAAGCTGGATCTGAAAGTGTGTAAATTTAAGGGGAAAAATAATACAAGATAACAGTTACTATTGCTGTTACACTGCATCTCCATTTTATTTACAGAATGAACAGAGGTAGCACAGAATTTGAAAACTATAATGAACTTCATAGTGCCATTATGCATGGAAAAACACTGAAAATATTGAGAATTTTATCCCCCACATGTGAGCTGTACAGATTATCTTTCAATTAAAGTAGAGAAATATGATGTTTAATTGTTTTCATTTCTCTACATCTTCCTGATGCAGAAAAAAGCAATTTGCATGTCATTAAGACTTTTACAATGTTATTGCAAATGATCCATGGTTAAGGAGTGGATCAGGAGTTTGTGATGAAATCCAGGAGTCTGTCCACAGAGGCTCCATCTACTCTAGCTAAAAATATACATTCTCAGAATTCTCAGAATTCACAGAATTCACAGAATGACTGGGTTGGAAGAGACCTTCAAGATCATTGAGTCCAACCCATGCCCTAGCTCCTCAACTAGATCATAGTGTCATATCCATTCTTTTTTTAAACACATCCACGGATGGTGACTCCACTACCTCCCTGGGCAAATCATTCCGGTATTTTATCACTCTTTCTGTGAAAAACTTTTTCCTAATATCCAACCTCTATTTCCCTTGGCACAGCTTGAGACTGTGTCCTCTCGTTCTGTCAGTTGCTGCCTGCAGAAAGAGACCGACCCCCACCTGACTACAGCCACCTTTCAGGGAGCTGTAGAGAGTGATAAGGTCACCTCTGAGTCTCTTTTTCTCCAGGCTAAACAACCCCAACTCCCTACATAATAGCCCAGAACTTATAGTTCAGTGGCTCTGTCACTGGCACAGTATTCTGGGGGAAGAAAAGCTTATATTAGGGTTCCCATTTTTCATTCTGCCTGTTGCAGATTTGGCCAGTTTCCTGAGCCACAATACAGTTTCCCTGGCTGCCCAATTTTTTTCTGGCTGTAGTTTCTCATGAGCAAAACCCAAAAGCCCATACCATACCCTGTTTGGTGCAGCTGAGTGGCTCCTGAAGAGACTTCTGAACTTCCTGCATGGTGGAGCATCAGGCAGGAGGTAGTGGCTCCCCAGGGAACAAGTAGCTAGTGGGGACAATGAAGGGATTTCATGTAAAATCAAGGCAGTGAGGTGAAGAAGAAGATACTGATGAACTATTGAAGAGAAAAGCCTAGGATCCTCTAGCCTGGTCCATACCTTCTTCTGGTGGTTGCACCTATGAAGGGGGCAGCATTAGCAGAGCAGGAGGATCTGGAAAGTTCTCGGTTGTGTTGTGTGGCAAGTGTGAAAAGAAGCTATAGCAGAGCAGAGAGGGTTAATATTTCTGTCAGTGCAAATGCACAAAATAAAATGCACTAATCAATTTTACTGAAAGCTAAATTTACAGTGCAGAGGAAAATTGTATTTACAATGAAGTCACACTGCATTCCATCTTTTGGATCTTGGATAACAAAACTTTTTCTGATGTAATTCAGCCACACTGATTACTCATTTTTGTACCAGAATGCTGTGACAAAAATGAAAGAAGACAAGCCCATTTAATTATTCCTATAGGTAATACTGTTTCATTTAGAAAAAAAAAAGTTGGATTTTAGAGCTGCATTGTTTATGTCTATTTAAATGCCTCATGAAGTCACGTTCTTAATTTAGTCTTTTATCTTAAAGATGATAAAAATGTAACACTGTCAACAGAACGAAGAAAATACATTTCTATTGAAATGTAACTCATATGACTTCATAGAGTCTCGATAGATTGTCTGTCATTAAGCTGAAATATTTCTATTACTTGTTCTGTGGGTTGGCATTAAAAAAAAGGAACCAATAAAGTGTTCATATTTTTGTACCATAGCAAAGGTCAATATAGGAATTGGTTTTTCCTGGTTTCTGGTTCATGACATAATTTTTTTTTCTCTCCTCTTAAATCTAACTAAGGAAGAAAAATCCTAGAAATAATTTTGAAGTTGAATGCTGATTTTATGCAAAATGTAGTGAGTGAGGATCCCTGTATCTGCTTTAGTTTGAAGCTGCCGTCACCATGTCTTTGCACAGAGATAGTACAGGGTATCGGTATCTGTCTCTGTCTCTCTCCCTCTTCGATGCTATATTTATAGCATCCCCCTGGCCATAAAAGGTCTGGACTGAGGCTCTGACATTCCACTGACTGCAGGCATTATTTTTGTTCTGGACCTTGAAGTCCAGTCCTTACCCCTCGTCCTAACTACCTCTGTCTTTGCTAGCTTCATTGTTGCTATATTTTTTGTGCTATTCATCCAGTTGGGAGCTCTTCCATTTGCTGCCATTCATTTGGATCCTGGTAAGTGGGTTTTTAATGCCAGAAGGTTTTATGTGTTCTATTATTTTTAATCTGAATCTGTAATGCCAAGTTGATAGTAGCTCCCTTTATTCTTCTTAGCTCAGCAGCTGAGGGATTTGTGGATGTCAGTTGAAGACATCTGAAGGCTCAGCTGTGAAATTAAAGGGAAGTAGTGCAGGGGCTCTTTTATTTTCACTCAGCCATCTTTGCATATTGTCACAGTACTCTTAAATAAAGCATGGGCTACTGAGGTACAAGAGGAGTTTGTCACGTAGTTTGTGGTCTTAGAGAATGTTTAAATAACATAAATATTTTCTTGTTGCATAGGATGTTATCTTTTCTCTGCTTACAGCAGTTATTTTTTTAAATCTATTTCACTGCTTCCATTGATTGATGGAGTAGATCTTTAAAGAATACAGACTGCTAAACAGCACAAGAATTCCCTTTAACATGTAGCTATGAACTATGGACAAGTACAGAACTGTCTGTCTGCTTAGTAGTAATTTTAAATAGTCAGTTCAACAGTTGCTAAAATATAACTCCAAAACCTGCAAATTCATCTAACTATGGCCACTAATATTTTCAGGCCAAGCTCTGAAGCGCTAGACTGATCTTGAGAGGGAGTGTTGCCCTCACACTGAAGGGGGCTGGTTAGTGCACACAGACTAAATGGGTGCAGGTAGCATAGATAAAATTTAAGAGATGGGAGTCAATCTGATAATCAGGCAGTGTGAAAGTTTCCTTTTATGTGCTGTGAGTCAGTGTGGGTCTTTGATTTGGACCAGAAGAGCTGACTGTCCCTGCTATCAGAGTCTTACTCCTATCACAGGCTTAACTCCTGAGGACGGTGAGATACAGACCTTTCCTCTCCAGAAGAAAAATGTTTCCTTTGTACATTTGAACTTGTTCTTTTGGTCTGACAAAATGTAAATGAAATGCCTTATTTAACTTCTTAATGGGCAGCACATGCAGTGCTTCATACTTGTGGATCACCTTCCGTACTTTGAAGCCTGGAAGGCTGTGGGAATGCCTGAGCTGAATGCCTGTTAGCACTGTGGCTGTTGTATGAATGATGAAGCCAGCCAACACTTCAAGTAAAGCTGGTGAAGACAAACCATAGTACTCTGCAGAAGGAAAACAGGATGTTCTCATGTTCCTTCCCTTTCAGCGTGCAAGACAATATTCTTCTGTATGCCTTAACCTTCCCAGTCAGTGATCACAATGACTTGCAAGTCCTAAACCCAGCTCTGCAGAGCTGCAAGAGGAAGGCAATGAAGAAAAATTAAGAAAAAAATCTTCTGAAACCAAGGAAATAAAGAGGAACTGCATACTACCAGTAGCTAACAAAGTGAAATAAGGAACAACACAAAATGCTGACAGGCATTAAAAACAAGGATGCTAGACAGAATAATTGCATTCTTTTAGACTGATGTGAAAAAACCAGCCAGCATTAAGAGTGAGTTAAAAAGGAACATCAGTTTTTGCCACAGAGACCAGTGGGCTAACACTCCCATTTCTCCTTTTTCCTCAGATAAAAATGAAGTAAATGCATAATCTCATCTGCTTGAAGTCACAGTTCCACTGGGGTCAGGATACCAGCAATTTCTTTTACATAAAATGTTTCTGAATTAGTTTCTTCCTTGTTGACTTCCTGAAACTAAATGATCAATTCAGTTATCATACAACGAGCATCTCTGTTGTGAGATCCCTGAAATATAAGGAAGTTTTCCTCTTTATTTTTGGTTTTTGTTGGGTTTGGGTTTGGTTTGTTGGGATTTTTTTTAGGGGGAGGGGGGAAGGAATTCATAATTTGTCTTGGTTAGGGTGAATACCTCAGCAGTTATCAAGGAGAATAATTTGAAACTTGTTGACTTGCTTTCAGAGCCAAATACTAAAGGAAAAGCCAAGGACTGAAAACTAGGGAGCATAAAGACCGGGGAAAAAAATCACAGAATCACAGAATATTCTGAGATGGAAGGGACCCACAAAGATCATCAAAGACCAGCTCCTGGCCCTGCACAGAACAGCACAAATCAAATAACTAGATTTTCATGAAGATTGATCTCCAGTTCTGCAAGTGTATTTTATATCAAAACATTAAATAATTTTTCATTAATATTCACAAAAAAAGGTGAACTGTTTTCCTATTGTTGTGATTGATATTAAAAAACAATAGCAAATACCTCTCAGCACTGATTTTGAATCTGTTTTAAATCCTTCTTAATATTTCCTCATTGTAGCTCATTTCTGTTACTAAGCAGGGACCTTTTCAGGGACAATTCTAGTAGCCATGTGAGTGTAAAAGAAAGAGACAGAAAGGTTATTGTATGGATTACTTGAGGTAAGCTTGCATGTCAAAGTAGAAAAAGTCAGTTATAAAAATAGTGAAATAAAAAAGCAAAATAATGACTGAACTGCTGGTTTTAAAACAAACAAACAAGGGAAATTCTTTCTGTACTCAACTTTCATCCAATTTTGAGAGGGGAACTACCTCTCACCCAATCAAAATTTACACTGTGATGATGTTCAAACTAAAACTTAAATGGGTCTATCATCTGGAGGAAGGGTCTTGGCAATCTTGAATGTGATATTCTAGGTTAAAAGAAAAGAATTTGGATTGAGGAGCATGATATTTCTTTACCCATTGCATATAGACTGGATCCCTGATTAAACTGTAAAAGTATAATGCACAATAAGCCCTTTTAAATTGAACCCTGGTACCACATACAAAACAATCACTGTAATGCACATTTGAGAAAAACTGACATCCTTCTCAATCTTAGTGTTTTAATTCACTGTTGTAATACTAAATGGAACATTAAATTCAATCTGAAAACTGGATTACTAAAATAAATGAAATGTTCATATATTTTTGTTTCATCTTTTACAGCCTTGTTGGATTTGCTTATACCTTTAAAAATAATTTATTACTTCATTATCTCTATTGTAATTGAACAAAATTATTTATACTATCTCTGAAGAAGTCATGCACACAGAGTTTCATTAGTTTGCAGTAATAAGTGAGCACATAAAACTTGAATAGTTTGCAGTAGCAGGGAGCCAGCTACAAATGAACAGACACAACAGTGCAAAGGTTTCTGGCCATGACAAGTGACATGTGAGCATCTTGAAACCTGAATATGAACCTGTCTGAAAGTCTAAATCACAACATAAAAAGATAACTCTAAATTCGTTGCAGTTGATTTTTCAAGTTCAGTGTTAGTTTGTGTGAAGTTGGGCATTATTTGTATGCTAACTCAGGAGTTTCCTTGACAATAGTCCTTATGTTTGCCCTGTTCTTTTTCAGACTTTATCCTGTTTATTTACCCTCAGAAAAGTGCAGCAAAACCCAAAAATTGAAGGCACCCATGATGTCATTACCATTCTACCAAAGACACCACGAGCACTATGACCGTGCGTACCGCCACAAGGCGCTGTCGTCCACCGTGAGCCAGTACCAAAAGGAGACAAAGAGCAAATCTGCCGTCTATGCTCAAGGATCTGCAGCTTATGCCAGGGGCTCCGCAGCCTACCGCCACTCGTCTGCAGCAGGCTTCAGCCTTGACTCCTCAGCAGCTTACAGCCATGGCTCTTCAGCCTATGACCTGGAGTCGGCAGCCTACAGCTATGGATCCGCAGCCTACGACCACTCTGCCGCGCAGAGTAAGAGATCTGCTGCCTACAGCCTTGACTCTGAGTCCCTCAGCACCAGCTCAGCTGCCCACAGCCATGCATCTGAATCCATCAACAAGCTGGCTGCAGCCTACAGGCTGGGATCTGAAGCCTACAGCCTTGGGTAAGTAAATCCGCATTCTGGTAGAAAAATTCCCAACCACTTTCCATTGGAAACAATGGCAAAACTCTCTTCCTCGTCCTTATAAAGTTCCTCTATAACTTGACATAAATGTATTTTCCTGGTCTGGTGTTTTCCCTTGGCGTTGGCAATGGGAAGGACTGTGGTCAGCTTAGTTTGTTGGGCTAATCCATGTGTGAAGGTTGGACTGTCATAAGAATAGCAGTGTCAATGCTGATGTGGCTGAATGGTCACATATTCACACTCCAAACTGGTTAGGCATGAGCTACCCCTCCTTCCAAGTTGTTTAGCCACATTAATACAGCTGAATTTAATATGAGGAGTTGAGATAGCTTTGGATTGAGGCTGTCTCTTATCTGGCAAGGTTGGAGTAGTAAAAGAAGTCAGAGTTCTTCATGGAAGTTTAAGTTGATGTGTGCATACATGATTAATTCTTCTTTGGCCTAATAGTTTCACTTTCGTGCTGAGTGATTCAAGAAACTGAAAATTTCACACTGTATATTGCTTGAGGCATACTATTTCCAAAGTAAAAATAACCTGAAGTGTCCGCCTTACATGAGAAGAGTAGTTATGCTTAGCTCTCATGGGTTTTTTTTAAATTTAAGATAATAAATATTGCTCAAGCAATAACATTAGCAGAATATTTTTGCTATAATAGCCTCATATTATTTGTATGTATATGTCTCAGAGATTTACAGAAATTAGGGAAGTATTAAAGTAAGATTAGAGCAGCTGTTAGCAATAGAGGAAACAATCAACAAATTATAGCTCAAAACATCTGCTCTCTGTTATATTAATGTAAAATTAAGAGTACCATCAGCAGAACTGATCAAAATTTGTCCACCAAAAAATTTAAATTTTGTAAACTAAATATCCTCCCAGGATTGTGGATAATGGTGAAATCTTGACCAAAACCAGTGAGAGAAAGACTACATGTACCACAGTAAACAATACCTTGTGATTTCAGCCTTCACTTGGCTTTCAAGAAGCTCAGGGTCCAATCTCTATTTGCCAGAGTTTGTTCAATAATTTGAACCTCAGGCTGTTACAGCCCAGGTGAGTGTCTTTACTTAACTCCTCACTACAAGAAAGACATTAAGTTGCTGGAATGTGTCCAAAGAGGGGCAACAAAGCTGATGAAGGTTCTGGAGCACAAGTCGTACCAGGAGCAGCTGAAGGAATTATGGCTGTTTAGCCTGGAGAGAAGGATGCTTGGTGGAGGCCTTATCACTCTCTACAACTATCTGAGAGTGTAACCAGGCAGGGGTTGGTCTCTTCTCACAGGTAACGAGACAGGATGAGAGGAACTGTCCTCAAGTTGCGCTAGGGGAGGTTTAGATTGGATATTAGGAAGCATTTCTTCACTGAGAAGGTGGTCAGGTATTGGAATAGGCTGAGCAGGGAAATGGTGGAATCATCATTCTTGGAAGTGTTCAAAAAATGTGTGGATGACGCACTTAAGGACATGGTTTAAGGATGGGCTTGGCAGTGCTGGGTTACTGGTTGAACCTGATGGTCTTACAGGTCTTAGTGATTCTGTGATTCTATAGCTGAGTGTCTTAGGCTGGACTGTATCCAGGCTTTGCTGTTGAAACTATTTCATTTGTGTAGATAATTAAGCACTGAGTAAAGCAGTGATAATTTCATTTGTAATCTGCTGGTGAAGGAAAGAAAACTGGAGGTGGTGGGACTGAGGGTTATGATTCCAAATGGAGCTGGGTGGGGGAAGATAAGCCAAGTTTCTGCAGCAATGCAGCTGTGCCTGCACTCTGTTGCTGACCCTAACCCAAAGCTTCCTTTTTCTTGAAGGAAAGGTTTCTATAAAAAAAGAACTTCAAGTTGTAAAAAATGATTGTTAAAAAAACCTGTTTCTGAATCCTGCTTGCAAGCACTTCAACTGCTACATGAGTTTCTTCTGAAACTTGTGTGTTCTCATTAAGAAGTCTAATGTCAACAGCGTAATATTGAAGGAAATTAAATTGCTTAGTTGAGAGAGAACTTAAAAAATTCCCAGGTTTCCTTGCTTTTCTCTTGCTTGAGATTAAAGTTTTTGGCTTAAAGTTGTATATTTGCATATATAACACTCTGTAGTACACGACTTGCCAATAGATTGTTCAGAGATAAGAATATCTCAGCTTCAATGTCTTGATTTCTCTGATCCTGTCATGGTATTGGAGGTTTGAGAAATTCATTGTTGCTAGCTAAGACAAGGACTCTGGAGATTAGATACACGTGATTCCAAGCTCTCTTACACAAAACTTAATTGGCACAGGAGACAATATTTCTGAATTAAAATCTCAGTATTTAACTTGGATTTATGTTTAATATAGCCTCTATGTTGGTATTTCTTTCTTTTGTTCAGCCCATATTTCTGCAATTTGCCAGAGGCAAAGCAGAAAATATAATGCAATTCTACAGTTAAATGTAATTCAAATTTGAAGGAATTCTTGCCAAATTTGCACTGTCTTTCCCAGATAACCCAAAATACTTCCAGGGGTAATGTGGAAACAACAAGTGTTAGTCAAATAAATTAGGAAAATCAGAGACTTTCTGTTTTCATCTATATGAAAAAAATGTGTAGGAAAAAATAAAAAGAGTCTTCCAAATCTTCCAAATTTCTAGAAGTAGAAAAGGCCTTGAATTGCAATGCTGTATATAAATGACCTCAACAGTAGTGTTTGCTTGAAACCAGAATGGACACAGAAATCCAAATCCAGACAAAATTTTTCAGCTAACAATTGATGATTTCATATCAGTGAATATCATCATCAAATATACATTTATGCATAATGGATATAGTTTTGCAGAAAAACACCATTAAGCCCAGCAGGAAAACTCAAATACTGTTTTTATTCAGGTAACTTATTTTTTTAATCTAAAGTAGCTTCTGTTAAATTTATTGTTCTTGCAAAATTTAAGTCTCATTTTTTTCTGTAGTCACAGTACAGAAAACTGTTCATGAAGCAACAGTGTTGACATGCTACAGAATGCTATGTGAGGAATTTATCATGGGGAAAGCAGTGGAGAAGGACTAGGAACTAGGTAACCTGCAAGACCTTGACCCGGACCCAGTTCCCTAGAAGCCTTGCTTGAGTGGAAAACATTCCCAGTGTGAACACAGGCAGTTTGAAGGAGCCATAGCTTGATTTTTCAGGAGGAGGATGAAAAATTTTTTATGTGCAAGTGGCCTGTGTCCCACATTTCAAGTCTTCCTTACATCACAACAGCCTGAGGAAGTACAAGGAGAGAAATGAAAATGGTAAAATCAAGAGCAAGTATGGAAGTTTGCAACTCTGCTGGCTGCAGTTGGCTAAAGGTGCAAACCTCTGGGCTCCAAAAAGAAAGGGTATCTCGCCATGCAGATGCTGCTTCTTCACACCCAGCCCTCCCCACCAGCTCGTGGGGCTGTCTCTAGCCAAGCACTTCTCTGGCTACAGCAGAGGCAGGAAAAGTGGCACGTGCTGCTTCTCTTGAGGCTCTGTACAGGTGAGGGATGTGTGTCTCCCACAAGCTGGTGGTGTGGCCAGCCCATCCTGTTCCCCATCCAATCCTTGGGGGCTGCCAGCATGGGCAGGCTGGCTCCTGTGGGAAAACCTTCTTCCACAGCAGTGCTCCATCCTCCATGTGCTTCTGAGAAGCTTTGAGTCAGATCTGCCAAAGCTGCTTATAGCACTACAGGGCTGTCAAACAGGACTGCTGGATTAAACTCATTTAGCTATTTTTTTGTGGAAGCTCAGTGATTTGCCTTTGATCAAACTTTCACTGTTTTCCATGTGTTATTCTCCTGTCTAGCAGTATCAGATAATCCCATTGTGTCACAGACAGATAATCTGCCACCAATAGGGTCATTCACCTGCTTAAAGGGGAAGCAGAAGTTACTGATGTGGCTCAGGCCTTGGTGTGTATTTTGCAGGTGAGGTGAAACAGCACAGAAGATGTGGTGTAGTTCAGGTGTACCAAAAAAAGAGAGGAGAGATGCCTTTCTAACTTGCAATTAATTATGCTGGCTGTAAGTACCAATGCTCTTCTGAACAACTTTGTAGCCAGGATCTGAGTAAATAATGCACTACCAGGAACATGAGAAGACCATGATCTTGGCACTGCTTATCCTTTAGTTTATTATAGGTGAGGGTTAAGAAGCTGGCTTCCAGATGTCATACCCAAGCATGAAAATTGTTTTAATGAGACCTGCTCTGTGGAAGCAATTCCCCTTCAAATAAAATGTTTGTGGAAGCTGTGTTAGGGAATATTGCCAGCAATATTGCCTGGGCTTGTGACAAACCTGTCAGCAATTTAAAATTAATATAGTCACCAGAGAGCATTTCTCATTTTCAGAGGCTGAATTTAAAGAGTTCTTTTCTGAACATATTTTTTCTCCCTTTCCTTTCCTGTAACTGGGCTTGCCAATCCACGATCTCCTGTATACAGTAAGTTAAAATACTGCATATTGGGAAAGAAACAGCTGCTAAAAAGAGCCTGGACAAGGCCTCGTGGCTAATGGAGCTTCTCCAGCAGGTACAGCTGTTGCAACCATTGTGTATAACATCATCTCTTTCTGCATAGGATGAGATACATGATTTTGAAGAGGTGTAAAATATCTTATATATGCCTTTTCAAGCAGGAGTGAAATAACTGAAGAATAGGGTGTTGTGGTCTGCTTCCAGAACACATTTCTACATCCACTGGGTGCAGACATTCTTTGGGCAGTGTGGGAAACCTGTCCCTTCAGGCACAGAAACAAGGGCAGTGCCAACATATTCTCTGTCTGAGAGTAAGACATCAAAACAAACCAAAGAATCTGTTTGTGAGCTGCAGATGCCCTGCACAGTGTTTTCTTTAGTTCCTCTGTTAGGCTAGAGGGAAAAGTTAATAGCATCTGTTTTTTACATCTCTACAGAACAATACCTGTGCCTTTTACAGCTCAGTGGCTCTAATGAAAAACTAGAAAAATGCTGCCATTGATATTTTAACATGCTGAAAACCACCCTGAAGTAAGGACAGTAGGCTTAGGACAGCAACTTTGATAAGACAGTACAGATAAGTCAGATAATATCTGACCTGGAAAAAAATATACATATGCTAGCTGGGCATATCAAATGAGGCTGAAAGATGTTAAAAGGTCATGGTACTGTTCCTCCCTATGAAACTAGAGAGCACTGATACCCTGCTCTTGCTCCTCTGGGGAGATTCTGTTCCACATATCAGGTAAAAGGTTGGAGTGTTTTAAAATAAAGGGCAAGATTTTAGAATCTGGTTCAAGAAACAGAGTCCTCCTTTGGGCCACCTAAATAATGGTTTTAGGCAGGATTTTATTTTTGTGTTGCACAGGAAGAAATAGTAAAAACACAGTAAAACAGGGGAATAAACCTCATGATAGAATAGTGTTTAACCTATTTTCTCAAGCAAAGACCTCCATTTGAATATGTGTTTCTACTAGCCTGCACCTAGCTCTGCCAGAACAGAAGCAAATTATAGAATTCAGAGAGGAGAAAAATTTTCTGGTGCTTTAAATTTATTAATCTAATCTCTTGGTTTATGAAGTGCTATTCTAAAGAGCATTTTGGAGTGACTCTAGGTATCCCTCTGAAAACACCAGCTGGGTGCTCTGGTATGGTCATGAAGCTGAGATATTCAACTTCAAAAACTTGGAGAGTTTGAGTATAAAAACAGCCTCCAAACAAGCAGAACCTATAGCAATTTATTCTTGTATTTTCAAATAACTTTAGAGAGATAGAAATGGAAGATAGTAAATCCCCAGTACTATACAGGAAAGATCTCAACAAAATGCCTAGCAAGGAGTGATGGGGACTGCTGTATATGCTTCCCATTAATTCCCTGCATGAGTGTGTAATCTGGACCCTAAATAACAACTAAACTGACTTCAAAGTCAAACTCTCTTTTAGCAATAATGTGTTGGTCTGGATTTAACAGTGCTGTAAATGCCTCAGCTGAAATTTTCAACACATTTCAACTACATTTACGAAAATAGAAACTTCTAGACATTTTAACTTAAGTTCAATTGGTAGTGTGATCCTTGTTGATCTAGAAACAACCAGGAATCTAGTGGCCTCCTAACAGGCTTAGCCTAAAGCTCTGAGGAAGTCTAATGTCTGTCAGAGTGAAAACTCCAGCTTTGACCCATTTTTAAATAGGACAGGAATAAAAGTCACCTGCTAAGTAAAGATCTGAAGCTCCTTACAGACTCTATTTCAATTAAGAAAAATAATGAAAATAGCTTGCCTTTGATGTTTCTTATCACTTATTTGATGAGTTCTGCCAGTGCATTTGTGGTTTGCCATAGTGATTGCACCACATCATTGTCCAACCCAGGAGTAAGGCCATTGCACACCCAGTTTCAATGTGTCTCTTCCTTTTTATTTTACTCCACCTGGACTGTTCCCAAGCGTTTTCTGCTTGGATCTCTGTCCCTAAAGCTGGATCTGCCTCTCTTGTACTCTGTCCCTGGCTGTCCTGGGCAGTGCCTGGTGTCAAACCCCAGAGCCCACAGCATCTCTCTCCTGTAGATGTGGTCTGTGCCTTGGCTGACCCAGTGCTGCCTGACGTGGGAAACCCTTGGCCCCAGTCCTGCAGTGTGTGCCACAGTCCATCACCAGCTGTGCCTTCTTTTGCATGGAAACCAGGTTACAGGGAGAGGAGGAAGGAAGGAGAAGCAGTGCATGGTTGCTTTTACCTCCTGCACTGAGCATTTCTTGGCAGCAGTGCTGTAGGCTCGGTGATGGTGGCACCTGGGGAGCACAGAGGAATTACATTAAGAAAAACAGCAAGAGAGACAGAGTTTGGGAGACTGATTTAACAGGAACTGGGTAGGGAGAGAATGCAGCCTGAGAAAAGGGATGGACACAAAGAAATGAAAGAAGGAAAGATGGGAGAATGAAAGTGGACCTGTGTCATCTCACACACAGTCTCAGTGGGTAGATTACTAGCACGTATTTTGGAAACTAAGTGTGTTGGTGGTGGTACTTTTGCAGGGATACAGCCTAAGGAAAACATTAGCCCAAGGATATAATATTATATTACATTATGCATGTGTAACATTCCCAGGGGCCCAGCCTTAGCATGGGTTTTGATATATGTGTACAGCGTGCTGTGTAGAGACACCAGTGTAAGCAATCCAGGGTGTGGGAAGCAGGTTATCCCTGACAAAGGCACATGTCAGGGCTAACAAGCCTTGCTGAGAAACCATCATTCTGCTCCTGTATCTGCACATGTAAGCAGGGAGCTCATACTGTGTAGACAAATCCCCAGACCAGAAGCAGACTCATGTGTGATTTTCTATGGTGATGCTGCAAGACAGGTGAATAGACACTTTGGGGATTTATAAAAGGCTGAAAAATAATTAGCATATTCCATAGGTATGGGAATTAGAGATGTGTTGCTTTAGCAAAGGAGGACCAGGTGTTTCGAGCTTTGTTTACACGATTTGTAACTATTAAAAAAATTAACCTAAAATGATTTCCTTAAATATGATTCATGTTCTTCAGAATCCCCCCCCCAGGTTGGTGAGGATGAGAGGAAGCTGTTCCTCCTTTTCAGTCATCCTCCATTTATCTGTGCTATCTTAGATGGTGCTACTTCACTCAACTCTTCTCTTCCAATGCATTGGAGCAGTGTGGGACAGCAGTGGGAATGGCAACACTGGTTTCTGAGCAATGCAGTGCCCTACAATTTCTGTAGAGAGACTTAAATGATCTTCCCAAGTCCCAAACCAAAAGCTATTAAAAGTACATTGCTGCCAGGTATATTGTTTACTCTATTTAGATTTAATATCAAGGGGCATAAGCAGTATGTTTGTAATGATGAGGTTGTTAAAAGTACACCTAATTATGTGTTTAGTAACTCCAAAACTATGACTATTAAAAATTTCAAATTCTTGATTACAAAACAATGCAGCAAAAATTTTTATTACTTTAATTGTATTTTTGAGTGCTTCTTAACAGCTTTTTTCCTGATTTTAACAATGTAATTTTTATTTCAGACTGAAAAATTCCAACCTAATGATAGAAGATCAGTCCTATAAGATGAGTCCCAAAGCAAAGAGAGCAAAACAGAGTTTGATATCAGAAGACAAAGAGAATGAAGCCTTAGACTACTCAGTGCCCATATTCACAGGACGGTATGTTCACTTTCATTTTGTTTGGTATCTTATTTCTGACATTTTATTAGCAAATTATAAAATAACAAAGCCATTAATCTGTCTTTACACTTATGGATCTTATGGTGATAGTTTGCACTTCACACGAGTGATAAAAAGACAAAGAGAAACCAACTGACTGGCAGAAAATTGGACATTGTTCATCCAGAGCCAGGATAAATGAACCTATGTGTCAGGACTTTGTTTTGAACACATTGTCAGGGCCACTTTCTATGAAATGAAAATATAATTAGAACCCCACTGGGAACCTGACAAGCACGTTGTCCAAATTATTTAGCTTATTCTTTTGGTTTGGAGACTTGTTCTGTAATCAAATATCTCTTACCAAGCATTAAACATAGAAACAGTGAAACAAAGTGCTAATGTCTTGTCCTGGCACAGGGAAAACCTGGAATAAAACCAAATGCTTTCTCAAATCCATTGTAATGATTCGTAGTGATCTCACATGTTGGTGGTATTTATTGCATGGCTACTACTGATGTAATACATCTTACTGCAGCAGTGTTCTCAGTAAAGCTGAATGTGAACTTTATGTGAAAGCCAGAACCAACATCAGCAAAGAGGCTCCCCTGCCCTTTCTGGGGTATGGCATGGTGATTTCAGTAGGAGTCTCCAGCAGTTCCAGCACAGTCACTTGCTCAGATTAATACAGACTGGGGTGGAGTGGAAAAAACTGGTCACTGGTTAGAGGCCAGGAAAAAACTTCTTGCCCACCTGCAGTTGAACAGAAACCTCCCTTCAACTTGTCTTTCCTCTGCAGCAGGTCATTTTTCAAGGGACATTTCCAAGTTTTTTCTGGAAGCCAGTTCTTTTCTGTCTACTGCTTAATCAACACCCAATGCACTTCTGCTTTATATCCAAACTTGTGGTTTCACGTGAACTTAGTTCCAGCTTGTCAGTGGAGGTGTTTTTGCTCTGGCCTTCTGAGCATTTGTGATGCTTTTGTAATGAGAGCAGTAGTTTTGGTTTTTATTAACTCCCTCCCACTATCTCAGAGTAATTTTTTCTCACGCCAACATTCCTGTGTTGGTTTCACTGCTCTTCGATCCAACCAACATTAAGAAACATACTGCTGCCTCTTTTAAAAATTGCTTTGGAGTTTCATCTGTATCTTCTGTGATAGAAACACATAAAAATGTGACAGTCTCATGCAGAACTTGAGACAACATATTCTCAAGGCTTCTCACTACTTTTGCATCTCAGCCAGTGTTTATATTTGTGTAGCAGATTTGCAGCTCACCGTCATCTGTCTCCCATGCCCTCAAGCACAAATATCCTCCCTTTTTATTGTATCTTGAGTCTACACAAGTAAAATTTATAGTATTGGGCAATAGTTGAAAAACACAACTGCTGATTAGTATTTAGCCTTTTTACAGGCCTCTGTGATCTTAGCACATCATGTTAACATCTTAACAAATATTAAGAAATAATTTAATTTATTTTATTTTTTACTGCATACAGTAATATCTAACTCAATGTGATGATATGGAGCTTCATTTATTTGTGTCTGTAAAGTATTTTGGGCCTCTATTTGGGGTCCTACATTAAAAGGTACTGCCAGATTCTTACATCGTTGGTTTTTTTTGGTTTGGTTTGGTTTTATTTTTTTCTTTTCTTTTTTTTCCCTATTTTTGGTGTTAACCATACTTTTTGCTTATGGCAATTCAGAAAGTTGTGTGTGCTTTTCTGCCACTGAAATGATCCAAAAAGTTTTCATTTTGTTTATGATTTATTTTTATAATTTTTTAAAAATTAATTAAAAAGGACATACGATGACTGTTGAATGCTCAACTCAACATGGCATGAAATGGTATCTGGTTTAGGCTTTTCACTGTTGGCATCATGCTCATGACCACATGCCAAGACTGTGGAAGTTGCATGCCACATTCCCGTCAGATATTTATTTTTGTTTGAAAGATAACAGCTGAAGCCCATTGAACCATGTGCATGCTATATGTCATTCCCAAATTCCCCAGTGAAATTGATGTGTTGTTTCCCATGGGCAGAGAGCTGTTAAAAGGAATAGTTATTTATAAAGGTCATATCTCTGTGGGTTTGTTGGGTGACCTTCAGCAACGTGTCACCGTTTCCATTTTTTAGTTCTACTTCAGAACCCTCAGGTTCTGCTGTAGAAAAAATATTTTGCTCAGAGTATTCACTTTGCAACTGATCCTTTTAAACACCTGAGCTAATCCTTGCAAGAGAAGATTGTGGACAGCCAGACAGTATTTTAGACAGTAAAACACCCAGAGCTTGATGTAATGCCATAACTGCTGAAGTTTCTGAATGTAGCTCATGGAATTATTTACAATCACTAGTAAGCCTATGCCAAAGGACTGTAGCTAGCAGATATCCTTAAAACTATATTTTGCCTTTGCCATTTGGGGTTGGATCTGGTTGTATCTGTTTGAAAACAATTCTCTACTGAGACCCTTGAGACTTGACTGTAAAATCAACTCAAATGGTATGGTTTGCTGGTTTAGTGCATTTAGCATTTCAGGGAACATGTTTCTCTTTGATCTGGGAAGATTATAACAGGGAGAAATTATTAGAAAATCTAAATATTTAATACTGTTTATCAAAAGCATCTGGGGATTACAGCTGAAGATGACTAGGATGGGTTCTATTTTAGTCAGAGGGTATTCATCAGCTCCCAAAAGATGCTTAATGCCTGGAGAAACAAGTCCATACTGTGAAGTTGCTGAGATCTTAACTGCTGTAATTAAGGAGGAAAGAGTATTAGTTTCCCCTTGAGGAAAAATGCCATGTATTCATTTAAAACAGAACTGTAGATAGCTATATTCATATTAATTATAGTGATTTTTCAAAATTGTTTTTAAAAATCTCTTCCATATATCTGCAGCTTCAGGTGATATTTGTGGGGACAGCTGATGTGCCTAAGTGGAAGGAATCTATCATTCCACTGATTTCTTAAGAATCATCCTCTTAAAGCAGGCTGAAACACAAGTTGAGTTTGAGGGTGGTCAAAGCTCTATGCTGTTAAGTAAGATTTTTAGTCTTTTCAGCAGCTGTTAAATGTAATTAAGTTTACAGTGCATTCCACTGCTTGGCTGTCTTGTGTCTCACTGAATTGACTTCATAGATAAGGGGCTGGACACTTAATTCTGAGCTTAAATTCATAAATTTTGAGTATTGAGATGTGCTATTGAATGCATAATATTGACAATATTAAAGAAAACAGGAAAAAATCTTCCTTATTTTTTTTTTGCTTTGTAGTAGTAGCAGTGTTTTATGATAAAAGAGAGGCACTCTAGAAACAGGGATGACGTTTCTATAGTGCTTGCAAGATGGCACTTAGTGAGAACTTAAAGAGAATTTGTTCTCTGTGTGCTAATGTTCCCTTAAAGTGACTAAATTCAGCAGGACAATATTAATGCTTCTTCTCAAGTCAAGGAACTCTCATTGCATATGCAATACTACAGCAGCTGTAATGTCCTGACAGTGCCAGAACAGTTTGGCTTTAGAGGTACATCCACATGTGAGAGTGGAAACAGGATTGCACCCACTGAGAGCCCTTTGTGTCTCACTTCTCAATAAAGCCTGGGGAGCAAGCTTCAAGAAAATCCGTAGTTATCTTCCTGGAAGCAATGGGATGGAATTTTCCATGAATGAAGAGATCTTTTTATTATCTACAATTATGTGGGGGGGTGTTTATAAATCATGAATGAGGACATTGTTTCACAGCTACAATCATCTACTCCCCCTTTGGCAGTGTTGTTATGAACGCTGCAGCTATAAGTTAATACCTGAAGATCTGTGGTTATGCCTTGCACTCATCTTTATAGTGATGGAGATAAAAAAACACAGAAGGATAATGTTCTGAACATGTGTATGGCATATTTAGAGGCAGAGGGCCTGAAAATGCCCATGACTTTTGACAGTGAAATGCTCATTCTTTCTGCAGAATCCCTCCCATGTTTCTGCTATGAATACATATGAGAGTGTAGCAGCGGAACAGTGCTGGCCACTGGAGTGGCTAATTTAGTAGCAAGTAGAAATGGAACATATTCTCAGCATTTTCCAATGGCATTCTGCTTTTAAAAAATTCTTTCAGAGCAGTGAATATCAGTGGTATCACAGACACCGAAGAAGAGAGGATTAAAGAAAGCGCTGCATATGTTGCCAAGAGGAACCTTTTTGCCACAGGGGAAGGAGTTAGTGTCAGCAAGGTGGCCAAGACAACTTCTGAAGAGCAACATCATGAAAAGAAATCAAGGAAAGTTGCGATCCGGGAGTCTGCTGAACGTGTAGCCATGAAGAAAACGGTAAAAGATTAAAAATTAATACTTAAGCTGGGAAAGAAAATTAGTCTTTTTTGTTTGTTTGTTTTGTTTGGTGTTTTTAAACTGCCTAGCACACCAGTGTCCTGATTTACTCCATGGGCAATGACAGGAATGGTAGTAATAAAGCCAAGTATTTTCAATGGAAATCTCTTGAAATACTTAGAAGTCTTATTATCTAGGTATCAAATGGATAAGGAGAGAGGCACTGCACCCGAGGCAGGCACCAGGAACACTTCTGTTGTGCTGAGAGAAAAGGACAGAGTAGGGGACCAGGGAAGTCTCTTTGGTCATGGCCACACCTATTTAAATGGCGCAGCATCTTTCCTTCACCTGGTGGATGAGGCAGATGCTGGGCAAAGAATAAAGGTGTCTATATATATAAATACATATATATATATATATATGTGTGTGTGTGTGTGTGTGTGTATGTGTGTATGTATGTGTATATGTATATGTACATAGATATAGATATAGATATAGATATAGATGATATAGATATAGATATAGATATAGATATAGATATAGATTAGATATAGATGATATAGATATAGATATAGATATAGATATAGATTATATATAGATATAGATATAGATATAGATATAGATATAGATATAGATATACATATAGATATAGATGATATAGATATAGATATAGATATACATATAGATATAGATATAGATATACATATAGATATAGATTAGATATAGATGATATAGATATAGATATAGATATAGATATAGATATAGATATACATATAGATATAGATATAGATATAGATTAGATATAGATATAGATATAGATATAGATATAGATATAGATATAGATATAGATATAGATATAGATGTACATGTATATATCTTGCTCATAAGTAGGTGAATGGGTAATTTCTGCACTTTTATGGCCTGAGAACAAGCTTGTCCAAAGTGTTCACCCCAGAGTTTTAATCATTGGGTATAAATTAGGACAGAATTAGGGTAAATTAGGTGTAAATTACAAAAATCTGGAACTGAATCGCTAATTGTGTGCATTATTGTCCAACGTCCTAAAAAATAACACTCAGAGCATAGTTACAAATATGTTGTCACCAGGTCAGCAGGACATGTAGGTGCAAATATGTTTGATTTAGCAAATATATTACTTTATTTCTATTAATATAATATGTATATTACTATACTATCCTATACTATACTATTACTATATTTTATTATTTATTTTTTTGAGCAGAAGAATTGGCAGTATGCTTATAGAATATCCTTATGACATAAGGTTGTAAGGAAAGGGTGTAAACACTTTCAAAGACCAGGTAAAGAAAGTCAAATTCGTCTCAACACTTGAGAAACAGTGAGGGTGAAATTTGATAACAACCAATGGAAATTACTACACACAGAAGGAAAAGATCAAGTAAATGAGGAATACCTGGCTAAGTAGAAGTACTTCAGGATCTGAGAGTTATAAAAGGTCACAAATTTAACGTCAGTCAATTTAATGATAGTTGTAGAAATACAAGTACCAATCTAGAGTATTATCAGTGACACATAAGGGGCAGTTATTTAATTGTGTTGGAATCTGTTTGGCCTATGATAATGAGCGGACACTGTTTCATGAATGTTGAAGACAAATAGAACCTGTCCAGGACTGAGAAACCATTGTAAGGAAAATTAGTATTGCCCAGGCTATAAAAGTCATCTTTTAATAATCTGAATACAAAGACCTGTAATTCTAAATATATTTGAAAGTTAGGGCAGAAAATAAATTATTTAGTTTGCAGAAAGCAAGATTGATACCATACTAGGAGTTTTTTTTCCAGCTCTGTGGATAGTCAAGGAGTTGAACCACTTACCTTGGGAGGGTCTTCATCCTATCAGGAGGAAAGATTTGAAAGCAGTTCTGTCAGAGATGATCTCAGCATAGAGAGCCTTGCCTTACAGCACAAGTACAGAAGGCATCTGAGTTTCTGGCCTATTTCACCTTCCACTCTCTATTTAAAGTAATAAATAAGTAATTAAATGTGGAATATTATTTTACTTATAATAGTTTTGAGGGAAAAAGCCCTGTAAAATCAAATCTAGTTACTTTAGAAGGAGAATTTATGGAAAATGAAAACTTTGTTTTCTGTGTCCAGGTGATGTCCATATCTGTCTGGATGTTTAAATAAAAATTGCAGGGGGGATTCCCTCTTCTCTTCTTTTTTTTTCCTTTTTTTTTTTTTTTTCCTTGTTTGTTTTTTGGTTTGGTATTAATAATTTGCACTTCAGGTGTATAATAAATTGTTTCTTTTCCAGCTAGAAGAGACTCAGGCATTCCATAAAAAGTTGAATCAAGATAAACTCTTACATGCTCCTGAGTTTATCATTGAGCCCCGTTCTCACACTATCTGGGAAAAGGAAAATGTTAGATTTAATTGTTCTGTGGCTGGCTGGCCTGAACCTCGTGTTACATGGTAAGTTTGTATCCCTGGCACTAAAAGTCACCACTTAACCAGAATCTGAAGTCGTCTTAGTAAATGTGGTTATTTTTTGGGAAAGACTGAAGTTAAATAAAAAAAAAAAAATAAAAAAATTAGGTACTGATGGCAGGCCTGTCAAACACCTTTCAAGTCACATTGTACAGAAAAAGAGCAATTAAAATGAAGTAATAAGAATAACACCACAAATAATTATATAATTCTTATAGTAATTTAATTAATAAAATTATATTTAAAATATTTGTGTAACAGCACTAGGAATACATGGACTTTTTTTTTTATTTGGTAGAGATTTCAAATATATTCCTCCCATCAATGATTAAGGAAAAATAGCAGTTTAATTTATCATACTATCTTTGATTATGTTTTCCAAATAGTTGAGTTTAGTTCTACAAATGACACTAATGTCCCTGAAGCATTAAAGCAGGGTTTGTTCAAGAGCAAACTTTTTGGCAGCTGAGCAGCTATAGAGCTGCATCCCCATGAAATAGAAGTCCCTTGATGGTGCTGTGAAATCTCAGTAATGATGATGTGTTCATAGCAGACACATTGTCAGTGTTTGAAGTCAGTGACTTCAGGTAGATCTGGAATCATCCAAATAAGATGAAAGCTTTGGAAATATTGGAAAATTTTACAGAATCACAGAATATGCTGAGTTGGGAGGGAAACATCTACTATATCATAATGTTATGTAATGATCATATATTGCAGTTTGCTGCTTGAATTGCTTAAGGGACTCTGCATTTATTTAGGTCTTAAAAACCTTAATCCCAGGGCTTGTCAAGAATTGCTATCAAGAGGTATATTAATAGGACAGAGTTGAGTCCACAAAATCACTGATCTCTCTCCTGGGACTCTGACAGCCAGACATGGCTGTCTGACATGTGTCTGCATGGACACAGTTTTCTCATCCCCCAAGGGTTGTAAGTGCCCATGTTCACATTCCACTTGGAGAGGGTTCCAGGCAAACCCTTCAGATCTGGTCTCAGCTGGATATAAGCAATGGTCAGCTACGCTCATGGCTGCAGTCCAGCTCTGTAACCTGAATCCTACCCAAGAATTCAGGAGCTGGGTCATTTTCATTTTGGTTGAGATTCACCTTATCCCCAAAACCTGACATGGTTAAACTGAGCCTTCAGCTGTCTGTCTTTGCTCTCACTGTGAACCAGCCTTTCATGTAAGTGCTAAATGTGGACAGTGGAAATTAATACATCATTTTACTGTACATCTGAGTTCCAAAGGGATTTCAGTTTGCCACAGGCTACTAATGGAAAAAAAAAAAATGAGATCACATCCTTTTCAGCAGGTGTCTTTGCTCTAAGATATAGAGCAGTGCTGACCTGGATCTGTCACCTTTCATTCAGCCTTTCTTACAAAATGGCAGTAGAGTATTGCAAACAGTCATTCTTTGTATAAGCAATGAAGACTTTTTCATGCTGTGTCTGAAAAACTATAAAGTTTTATTAACTTTCTTTAAAGAAAACCTGTCTGATGCAGCTGTTCTAACTCCCCTGGGGAAAAAAAAAAAGCATATGGAAAACCCAGGACATTTGAAACCAGTAGCAGAAAGCATAAACTATCAGTGGCTAATGACAGTGGGAGGTTGCAGTCCCACATTAGCTAATGACTTGGCTGCTCTGGAATTTGTATTTCCAGAAATAACAAGTGGTCCTTCCAACATGAGTCCTATTCTTCCTGTAGATGAATATAAATAAGAAAAAAATTGAATCAATTATTTTTTACTAACCTGATAATGATGACGAAAGAAGTGGAGGTCTGCTTGCTGCTGGCATGACCCAGTAAAAGCTTCTTTTTGCACAGCACATGCTACCAAACAACTTTGCTGCCATAGGATCCAAGAATTTCCCAGCCCTTTGGAGAAAATTTAAAGATACTGTGCAGTTAAGTCCTGTTTACACAATTTCATAGTCCCTGGAAAATATTAAGAACTGATAGGATTATTCTATTTTCTAAAATATTTGAGACATTAGATGTAATGTAGAGATGCCCTGATGTTCCCAGGCAGTTCAGTCTGGGGGCACCAGCTCACAGACTGGGTGAAGAGTGGTGAATATATTACTCTTGCTGGACTCATGTATTATTCTTTGCCTAAGGCAGGATAATAGAGTAATGAGGTCAGGCATCTCTGTAAATGATTGATGTGCAGAACAGAGAGTACTGTTCTTGCACTGAGTCCCTTTTCAGGGACATTTTGCTGAGAGGAAGATGAGGATAAAAAGCATTAGGGTTTATAGTCCTTACTCACTTAAGCCCTTGGAAAACTCTCAGTGTATTACTATGCCCAAATATTTGTAGTCAGGGAAATATTCTTTATTATTTTTATGTATTATTCTTTAAAATGCTGATGGTGCTGAAAGACAGTTTTCAGATTTATTGTGGATATAGCTTCATCTTGAGATATATTCAACAGATAATATTCTTGGTGAAAATAAAATTGTTAATTACTGATTTGTTTGGTGAAGAGAGGCAAGCCTCTGACACCAGACCAGTTCTCTTTCCTGACAGAAAAAGGTTTAAAATATAAAATCTGAAATGAAGAAGCAAATTTCTTTGGTTATCTGTTGGGAAAAGAAAGATTTATTTCAGCTACATCAGAGTAAAAGAGAAGATACTTTTTTCTGTCATCCTTTATCATTTCACGTTCTTTACACACACACACACTTACATATATATATATATATATATATATATATATATATACACACATCTTATGAAGAACAGGGAAAGTTATGCAAAGTAGGACATTCTCTTAGAAAACATTTCTTTTTATGGACCTCAAATCAATGCCAAATGTACTGAATACAATTCAGAGTGCAATTTATTTATTAGACTTCTATTGCCATTTTTATCCATATTTCCAATGCCTGCTTAAGACAGGATTCACTCAAACATTTACTTGATTACACCATGTATTGTCCAGAATGAGCAACGTTTTACACAACAATTGAAGAGTAATTATTTATCATGCACCACTGTTCTTCCACTATGAGAGTCTCAAGCTGTTTGTATAAATTCTGAAATTAGCAGTAACAGCTCACCACTGATTCATTCGTTCCTTCAAATTATGTACTTATGTACTTTTACATATTTTGGAATTTTGAACAGTAAACCTTTCCTACCTGTTCCAGAAAAACACTCATAGTGTATGCCAGTCTAATCCTGTTAAGTTGCAAATAAACAAAAAAGTTAACCTTCTGCCTGGCATTTTTTGTGCATATGAAGGTTTTAAAAGTAGGTCAAATATGCAAACCAAACAATATGTTTATGATAGCTAGTAAGTAAGGAGTCTACAAAATTTTTATTTGCTGTTTACAACTCTGAGATGTTGCTCATGTGACTCCTCCTTTCTTTTACAAGTAGTAACATGAAGTTTGTGGTAATATGAACTGATTTTCATCCCACTCAAGACTATTTTCTTCTTTTAATTTGAGAATAAAATCTACCTGGGGCAGGCCAAAGAGAGAGAGAGAAAGGTTACACTTTCAGAGACCTGTAATGTCTTCCCAGGAAGTTAGACTACAGTTTATCTAGGAGAAACATGCAGAAGCTGATATTCTACTTCAAATATCAAGCACTTGACCTTTTAAAGTATAGAATGATTTCTCTTTGTGACATACTGCTTCTTTGCTTTTCCATAGGTACAAAAACAACGTGCCCATTGATGTACAGGCTCACCCTGGCAAGTATATCATTCAAAGTCGATATGGGCTGCACTCCCTGGAGATAACTGAGTAAGGAAATATTAAATAATTTAACAAACAGCTTAAGCTGAACTGTAGGTATATAATAAGACCTGCAAAATGTGAACATATCTCTTGGGATATGTTATCTTGCAGGAGATATCAAGTCAGATAATATCAGAGGTATCAACTGTGGTGAATGCTGTCTTCTAAACATTGAAGCAGTTCTGGTTTACCTCAGTAGAGGACATGCAATTTACCTGAATTATTTATCTGGATTATTTCTCTTGATATTCCATTTATGTCCAAGTCAGAAAAGTGGGACATCTATGATTCCTTTTTCTATCTATTTGCTTGATGAGTACAATTAAACATGTAAAAATATGTGAGCTAACTGTTTTTCAAATATAGCAAAGTTCACAATTCTTACTGAAATCAGGAACAGAACCAAGATGTTCTCACTTATATACAAGAAAGATCTTTAACAGTACTCATCTTCCAAGTGGGAAATTTCTACATTGGCTTTGCATTAAAAACATTGAAAACATAAGACCTAATCAACAACAACCTGGATTTGACAATTTATATACTGACACATGCCCTTTGAAAATATTTTATGAAATCTACCATTTCTACAAGTTCCATGTTAGGCATCTCTTCATAGAGACAGTAAATTAGTGATGGTTTTTACTAGTTATTCTGTATTCCTAATTTCAAATCTGTAAATGATATTTGAAAAGAGGCATTCATTTCAAACACTGGGATTTAACATTGAGAAAAATCTAATGGCTACAATCTGTCCAGTGTCCAGCATGTCTGTCTCCCAGGCTTTTTACTTTATGGATTTTACCCAGATTTCTGAGGGTTTTCTTAATCTAAAACACCAGAGAAGCTATGCCAGGGAGTAAATGGGTGCTCTGCCTAATCATTTCTATGATTTCAGATGTGAATTTGACGACACTGCCCAGTATCATGCCTCTGCTATGAATGTTAAAGGAGAAGTTTCGGTTTATGCTTCCCTCGTGGTAAAGAGTAGGTTGCAAAATATTTCCTTCAAGGTTTTTGTTGCTGTTTGTTTTTTTTTTTTTTAAGATGCACATTACCAATTTTGGTTTTGTGGCTCACAGAGACTTTACCTTTTGGTGATGGTGACACATTTTGTCCTTTTCTGTGTAGGGTACAAAGGAGAAATTGACGCAAGTCTTTTGCATGCTAGAAATCTTTCCCTCTCTCCATGTAAGTTACAATATGTTTCTTTGACAATTCCATTTATAGTTGTGACATCATGACACATGACTAAGCAGAATATTTAGTAACATTATTTTAATAAGAAGTAGGTCTGATTTACGAGGGTGTGGAGCTCTACAATTTCGGCTCACTAGCGGGGGGAAATGGCATTGCCTTCTAGGTCTGTTGGCTTATATAAGAAACATCCTGTTAATATTGCACTTCACACTGAAATAGAATCTGCCAAAGAGAGAAACACTTCCTCTTTTGCAATATGTAAAACATGGCATGGGGAAGTATGGGCCTACAAAGAGTAGGTGATTGAATTTTTGTCCGCTGCTTTTGTGGTTCCATAAGCTGTGAAAATGCACAGAAAATGCATAGAAAATATTAAATATCCAGAACACAATGACATTATTTTGGGATCTATCAAGGTAAAAATTGTAGTCTGTTTTACCTGAGGACCCCACATTGTAACAATACGGTATCCATGCTTCCATGATGATAAAACAGTCCACCCCATGAAGTGTTTGACAGGTGAGACTTCCATATATTGCCGATAAAATTTGTGATCTATCACTTCTTTATAGGAAAGAAAGATCATGATTTGCATATCTTCGTTGATCACAGCAAGAGGGAAAGTTATCAGTACAGGCTAGTTGGGTAAATGTAAAGCGTGACCTTAGTTTTTATCAGCTGAGCTGTTTTCAAAACAAACGTGGAAGCCCCTCTGCCATGGATCGACAGTACAGGTTAAAGGCACTTAGGATATTCTGTCTGGAAAACTGCACCAATTGGGACACACAGCATTTGAAAAGATAAATTCAGGAACAAAAATAAAAACAGGCTACCATTTTATATTAATAGTAGCCCCCACAAAGGCTTATTAGCTAACAAAAACAAAGGCAACGTGGACAAATGATTGCTCTGAGAAAGAGCAAGGAGTTAAAATGGGAAAAGAGAAGAACCATATAAGCTAAAGATCAGCATGACCTGAGCAAATAATTAATCACAAATAGAAGTCTTTTTAAGTCATAAAACAAACCTTATGTTAAAACACTAGATTAAAAATTTTGAAAATTCTGAAATTAAATTCTGCAGCAGCTTCTCCCTGCTAAAATGAACTATCTGTAAGAACTAGAGTTGTATGAATGAAGAAATAGTCAGTTCTCTGCAATAGAAAGGACTTGGATTATCCAGCACTGCAATTACCTCTGAAGATGATGACCTCATATACACATTGTTCTTATTTATACCTGAACTTTACCTAGGACTGTGTTCATAATCACTGAGTACTTTTTCTTCCCACCCTTGTCACAGAAGGAAAGAAAACCAGTTTTTTTTTCTCTTATACAGTTGCTGTTACCCCCCATGGCTATGCTTCCAGGTTTGAAATCAGCTTTGTTGACAAGTTTGATGTAGCCTTTGGGAGAGAAGGTGAAACAATGAGTCTTGGCTGCACTGTTGTCATCAATCCTGATATCAAGCGCTTCAAACCAGACATTGAGTGGTACAGGAATGGTGAGAATGTTTGACAAGAAGAAATATAAACTTCTTTCATGTGAATCTTTACTTATTTCAGCTAATGTCAACGTTATGATTTGGTCGTCACTTTCTCAGGGTTTCTAATGATAATATTCTCTTTTTCAACTAAAATTGTTTCATAATTGAGTATTTTGATGTGAAACCACAGGAAATTTACAAAGCACTGTGAAAATGTCTTCTAGAGATTTTTTATTTCATAAAAAATATCTAAACTAGAAGCATTTTTATCAGAGACAACATCTATGTGGCATTTATAGAGCTCATATAGCTTTTATTATTTATTTATTTATTTATATGCCAAGATATTTTCAAGTAGTTGCCCATTGTTCTGTAACAGCTGATAAAAAATATTGCTTTCTGAAGTAATGCTTTGAAATCAAAGCTGTCATAAGAGCAGAATTAGATGTTATTTATGACTCTTTTTGAAGACAGAATGTTGTCTAGTAAGAGTGGCCTCTTTTGTAATTCCAATCTACTCCAGTATATTTTCCATATTCAGAATCTATTTCTCAGTAGCTCCTGCTGGTTCTTACAATGAAATTCTCTAATTCCTAGGTGTTCTTATTACACCATCCAAATGGGTCCAGATGCAGTGGAGCGGGGAGCGAGCTTCTTTGACGCTGACTCATGCAAACAAGGAAGATGAAGGTCTTTACACGCTGCGAGTGGCGATGGGAGAGTACTATGAGGAGTACAGCGGTTATGTCTTTGTTCGAGGTGGGGTACTGTCTTGTGCACAAAACTAACTACAGAGCTAAGGGAAAATCAGTCTCAGGTATTTGAGGTGCTCCCCCCACTTCCCCCAGCCCCCCATAGCAATAGAACAATAATTTTCTATTAATAGAGCCTAGCAATGCACACTCCAGTCATTATCTCTGGAAAAAATACGTGCATGTATTTTTTTTTGCATCTTTAAGACCTCTAAACTCCATTGACATTCTGAGGAGGAAATTTAGGGTATTATGTTCAGAGTGCTGAACATCAGTCATAAGGAGGAAAAATGCACATAATAAGTTACAAATGCTTTTTTGTAACCATCCCACTGCTAAACTGCTAAACTGCACTATTTTTGTCAAGATTTTCTGCACAATTTGAGGGATTCTGTTTAATGCACACTGCAGGAAAAAATACAGTGGGATGGAAAGTGCGAAGATCTGCACCTGGAAAAGCATAATCTCATGCATCAGAATAGGCTAGTGTTTGTCTGGAGAGCTGCTTTGCAGGAAGGATCCTGGTGGGCCAAGGTGAACACGTGCCCTTGTCACAAAGACAGTGGCACCCCAGGCTGCTTTAGGAAAAGCGTTGCCAGCAGACTGAGGTGGTGATCCTTGCCTTCAGCACTGGTGGGACTCATCTAGAATGCTAGATCCATTCTAGGGATCCCCCACACAAAAGAGACATGGGCTCACTGAGGAGAGGCCACAGAAGGGATCTGAAGGTGATTTACAGCTTGGAGCATCTTTCATATGAGGAAAGGCTCTGGCTGACTCTGCTTTGAGCCAGGGACTAAACTAGGCAACATTTGGAGCTGCCTGCCAATCTCAAGCACCATTTGATTCTCTGAAGTAATGCAGTGAAGAGTGGAATTAAAATGTAATTTTTGTGAATGTTCTTTGCTTGTGCCACCAAAAACCTTATTGAATATCCATTGAGAATTATTTCTTTAAAAGGAGCCATTGCTATCCAGTTGTGTGCTGATTCTATATCTGTCCCAGCTTCTAAAAGCAGCTGAAGTGTGTAATGCTAATTCAAAAGGCTCTGGAGATTCTTGGCTCTGAGACCATGCCCAGAACAGCTCTTTCTTGCCAAGTTCAGCAGAACTGTGTGAGATAACAACCTGCCCAGAAAATAAAACTGAAGCAGACGTTTTCAACACCTGAAGAAAGAGCCTATTGAAATGAGATTCTGTGTCAAGAAATAGGATTTGTCTTCCTTTATTTGTTTTATATTGTGCTTCCATATAAATAAATTACCACCCTCAATCCTATTACATCTTCTGGCAACACAGGTATGACCTGACTGAAACCACCACCCCTTTCAGTAGAGTATCTTCCTACACACACAAACACACTGTGTGTGTTTACTAAATTCTAATCACATTAATTTTATTCTACATTCCTATTTAAATGGTCACCAAAATCTTGGTTGGCTGCTGTATTCGCATCACTCCTAAACTGTAGCCAAATTTGCTTTAAATGTCAGCTCTGGTATTTAAGCTGGAGCAGTTGTGGGTTTTTTTGTATCACACACAGAAATCAGTGTATCAATGAAAGGGAGGCTCATAATGTTATCCTTCAGACTGGCTTTGAGAGCATGTGTGATGCCTCTGCCATGGCTACAGATCATCATTTGCCAGCAAGCCATCAGGGATGAAATCCTAGCCTCCTAGAGGCTGATCAGCAATGCTGGTTCTCCCAGCTGTTTCCCAGTCTGTCTTGGAAAGAAACCATTGTCTCATGTTCTGTCAAGTGAAAAATATGGGCAATTAAAACCTTTCATAAAGAGATCACTGAAAACATATTGTTATTATTATTAATGTTCTTACTATTCTGTGATGTTAACTGGATGGTTTACTCTGTATGTTACCATTTTTAAAAATGCATCAAGTTACCTGTAATTAGAACCTGGACTCAGCAACTTTGGGGCAGCTTCAAAAGCTCTGTGTGATGTTACTCTGCCTATAAGAGTGTCAAGTGTGGCTGGGATTTATTTTTTTTTTTTAGAAAGAATAATGTTTTACTTGATGAAGCATATTAAATACTCTAAGAAGTCATTTTTTTCATGAAAGTCAAAATCATGAAAAATAAGGAATACTGTATATTATAAAGCAAAAACCTGTAATGCCTTGAAACATTAGTTCTTTCTGAAAATTCAGTTTTGTATAGAATGTATGAATAGTATTTATTAATATTTTTTTTATTCAGGTATATATATTATATTATATTCAGGTCTTCTTTTGAGGTAGCTCACAATTGTACAAATTGATGCTATTCTGCAGAGAAACAATATCTCTTACTTGAAAGTCTTTCACAGAGTCTTCCTGCAAAGGTTATTTTTCTCTACATGAAAATCGCACCATCTCACAAATCAGAGTCTTTGTAAACAGTAAAAATTCCCCAGTGCCCAGCACAATTTTTCAAAGCTCTAGATAAGACATGTCCAGAAGCTGATGCAGGAGTCAAGGCCCTTTGACACCAACAGTCCCAGATTTATGGTAAACACTTGAAAAAAAAAATGCTTATCCTTATTTTCACAGTGATAATGTATGTGTAATATAATTAAACTTCAAAAGGTTTTGATACCTTTGCAGTTCACAGCCAACCAAAACCAAACAACGAAGAACAATGAGTGGAGATATTTAATTCAGTATTGTTATATCCAGTGGGTGAATACTTTTTATTCAACTGTTGCCTGGCTGCCAAGTTTTTAGTTCAACAATGTCTCTTGCAGCTCCCTAACCAAAATGCATGATACTAATTCTATTTAAAATGTCTACATTTACAGTATGCTATAACATATAAAACATTTGTAAATGTTGCAAAGAAAAGCCAAAACCTAGAAAAACATTAGCAATATAAAAGAAAATACTTTTTGGAAGTCAGTAGGAACACAATTTGGTCCTTAAACATTAGTAACTGTTAAAGAACTGTGGTTCACATTTGCAAACATATTTCTCCATCCTCATAGATGCTGATGCTGAAATTCCTGGAGCCCCTGGTGCACCACTGGATGTGCAGTGCTTAGATGCCAACAAAGATTATGTCATTGTCTCCTGGAAGCAACCTGCTGTTGATGGAGGAAACCCCATCCTTGGGTATTTCATTGACAGGTCAGTGAGCGTGCTGGACTGGGGAATTCATATTGCTGCTCATTCCAACAGAAAAAACTAAAGACACATTAGAAAGCATGAGATAAAACAGTCATTTTTATTTTCATTCTTGTTGCTGGCCAGAAGAAAATTGATGTTTTGTTTTGTTTTGTTTTTTGTTTTGTTTTGTTTTGTTTTGTTTTGGCCTGATCTAACTTCTATGGAAAGAATTACATCTTCTTTCATTTAATTTGCATAGAAAGGATTCTGTGAGAGCTCAGCCCTTGCTGCTTCTCTGAGGCTTGAGAGGCCTCAGGGTTTTGTAGTATTTGGTAATTCTGCATCAGGCAGCTGTGGCTCCTTCAGTACTTAGGCTCTCTTGCCTCTCTCTGAAAATGTACCAGAAAGCAAAATATTATCTCAAAGGGGCTTGGATTTCTTTCCCAAATGCTGTTGTTATTCCAGTTCTTAGATTCACAAGCTTCCTGGAAATTATTTTAAAAAATGTGAACCCTCAGGATCCTAGAAGCCTGTGATTTAAGAAATTAAGTCAGTATTTTGGTACTTTTTTTTTTTTGAATTTTCAGTGCTGGTAATATTTGTTTGGATTTCAGTAACAGAGTCCATCATATGAGGTTCCTCTGTGCTTATTCAAATCCATGTAAAAAACACCCAAACATATATATATGAAATATGCCATTATATTGTGCCTTTGAATAAACATAAAATATATATCTGTAAAAAGAGAGTATTTCTTTGTGAAATAAATCTAACACTCAAATATAACTTTACTGTTTTGATAACTTTTGAGTGCCAGTCACTGCTGTAACTATGTTCTGCTAGATCTAAGCTTTGGCTCTTTAACATTAGTTGAAAAATCCTAAACAAAAGACAGGACTAGACTCTGAGCAATAATATCTCATTTTAAAACTAGGCTACTGAAGGATGTTAGGACTGAAGTAACTGCAAGAGAAATAGAATTTTGCTTTTTCTGTTGTGTTCACCTTGTTTATTCTGCATTTGCTCCCAAATTCAAAGATGAGTTACTGCTCTTCAGTGCTGGATCCCACCAAAGTATTCAGGGACCCAAATATTCACCCTTACTGCCTTGCGGAGTTGAGGGGGTGACTAGCAGGACTGGTCTGTGCTGGTCTGTGCTGGTCTGTCTCTCACCCCAAGCAGACACAAGAACCACAAAACCACCCTGATTGGGATGGTAGCAATTCTCAGGATAGATTCTTGCATGTACCAAGAGATCTGGGTAGGAGCTGTAGCCTTCTCTTTGGTAGGTAGCTCAGCAGGTAGTCTCTTCCAAGCTGAAAGGTCATGTTCCTGTTGACCATGTTGCTTGATACAGGGAAACCATCACCACAGGCTTCTCCTGCCTCCCTGAGCTGGTCATATCTTCCTTCTGCCATAAACCAGCCTCCTGATATGTGTGAGGCTTCACACTTGTGGGATCAGCAGCACCACGCTGGGTCCTGTCATTGTAGGGACTACAGCCAGCACACCACAGGCTCCCTGGCAGCCCCAGAGGTCTGGGCTCTGAAGCAGGGCCTGACTGAGTGCCCACCTTTAACCCATTCACAGCTCTCTCTGTGCTGGGCTGATCCCAGAGCTCACAGTGGAGGTCTCTGCACCCCATGAAGCCCAGCATCTTGTGGGGTGTACAGTGCAGCATCGTGCAGGAAGGCTGAAGTAGTGTCCTTCTGACAACTGCAAGGGATGCATATTTCCTGTCCTGTCAAGTAAGCTAAAGCTGACACTCCCTAAGCATACTTTGGAGGCTTTAAGCAGTGAAGTAAGTCTGTTCTTATCCCTTTTTCAGTCAGGAAAGAAGGGTGCAGCTGTGAGGGATTTAGTGCATGCCCAGCTGGTACTTCAGCCTGAAGCCTTGCTGCAGCTGCTTTGATGTCACCAGTATATAATTCTGCTGGAAACTGGTATGGACCAGCCAACAGATGGTGAAGCTCCAAAGACATGTGTTCATGCTTTTTCCCTTCCCAGCACTGCTCTTGCTGTTTGTGTTTTCCAGGTGTGAGGTTGGCACGTCCCACTGGACCCAGTGCAATGAGAATCCCGTGAAGTTTGCTCGCTTTCCTGTCACTGGTCTGATTGAAGGCCGTTCCTACATTTTCCGAGTCCGAGCTGTGAACAAAGCTGGTGTCAGCCTGCCATCCCGGGTGTCAGAGCCTGTGGCTGCTCTGGATCCTGCAGACAGAGCCAGGCTTAAAAGTAAGATGTGCTTTTTACAGGTTGCATGAGAGGTTTGAGAAGTCACAACTCATTAAAAAAAAAATAAAGATGTATGACTATATGACTCTCAACTCATAAGCCTTCAAACTCCCACTAGAGGGTGCAATGCAAAGCCAAAATGTTCTTTGGAGACAGCTTTGCCAGGAAGAAATCATCTCAGTGCTCTTTGCACCAAGTGTTCTATGCTGAAATGGCTTTGGCTGACTGCAGTGCTACGTTCCAAACTTGCAGGAATGGGGGGAAAAGGCACGGGATAATTTAATTGCCTAGAGAGACTTGGTTTTGTTCAGCCAACAGAATAGCGGAACAGATCCTGTGAACAGTCTCTCTCTGAGCCACAGACAAGGGTGGCTGATTCTGTTCTCATGTGACAATCCAAGTCTTGCAATAACATCAGTGCAACGTCAGGAAAGCCAAACAGATCCCAAGCTCTCCGCTTTAAGGTTAGCATTTTACAAGTCAAAGATATTTGTCCTGTGGCCTCACAATGTATCAGACATTTTGCTTCCAAACCCACCTCTCTACAAATATGGCATAATCACATGCCTAAAATAAATTTCTGGTTTTATTCAAAATCTATTTCTATGTGTTTCTGAAGTTTTACAATTTAAAATGGTCCAATGTGAAGGGCTATTGTACACAAAGCTACAGTGCTCCCATGGTCCCAGCTTGTACAAGCTAACGAGTATAGTGCTGCAGCCAGATAATCTAGGTTTCCATTCAAGATAAAACAAAAGGCCAGAGGAAAGAGATTTGGCACTGCCAGGAAACATTGCACTCAGTCAGACATGTGAAACCCTAAGCCTTGGGAGGAGGGAGGAGTCTTCTTCTCAATGGGCAGCATGGAATCTGTCACAGGAGGTGAAGTCTGGTTTTGGTGGCCTATTCCTGTTATATCTCCTCTTCTCATGTCTCATAATTTTTCTCCCCACCTGCTTCCTCTCTTCTTTCATCTCCAAAACGGATCAGCCAATGTAAGGTGAACAATGTGGAGGCGGAGAACAGCGTTTGCAAAAATTATCTCTGAAAGTGCATTGACCTGGTTGAAAGCTGCATAACTGCAATAGTGTGATAACATATTGGTTGCTCAGAGAGCCACCCAAATTTATCAAGTGGACATGTTGAGTCAGTCTGAGCTGTTACTGTTTGTGACTGTGACCCTCAATTTAAAGACTGGTAATGTGAAGGAAAGTGGTTAAAAAGAGACAAAATGCAGCCTGCAGGAATTTGACAGTTCCTTTAATAAGTGAGCTGTTAAACCAAAGGAATAGAGGATGGAATATAAAGCTGAAACTAATTCTCTGAAAACAATGAGCTGAGTGAACCAAATACCTCTGCTTGTCACCTAGGAGACTTCAGTGACATTTCAGGAAGGAATAGATGTTTCAGTGGATTGAGTTCTCTAGCTTTATTAAATGCTGAGCTGCACTCAGTATTCAATCTGTTAAGCCCACAACTAGCTTGGGTAACTAGCTTGCTACATGAGCAACAGCCACAGCATTAAGCAAAAAATGAAGCCCATGGGGATCTTGCAATTGTTAGTTTTGAGCAACAAAAGAATCAGTTTTCTCATTGTTCAAAAATTTCATGGTGTCCTATTTCCTTGTTATCTCTGACATTTGTTTCAGGTCACCCTTCTGCTCCTTGGACTGGACAGATTATTGTGACTGAGGAAGAACCTGCAGGTAAACACAGCCCTTTTGCCTACAAATGTCTAATGTGAAGCTGGTTGAGTAATTAGGAAAACTCTGAGTTCAGTGGACTTTGGCACAGACCCAAAGTTTGTTGTTCTGAAAGTCACTTGACCTTGAATAACTCAACAACTTGGTTTTTGAGGTGAAGTTTTATTATTCAGGACATAACAAAATCATGCTTAGAATTGAAAGAAAGAAATTTAAACCCAATATTTAGAAGACTTTTAACTCTACATTTAAAAAAAAAAAGATTAAGTGCTGAGGTATATTGATACTCCTATTTTTTTAATTATTATGCTAATTTTGATACAAAACCAGAAAATAATCCACGTTCTCTTTCTTATTCTTCCCTGTCCTTCAGAGGGTGTTGTTCCTGGTGCCCCCACAGACCTCCAAGTTATTGAGGCCACCAAGAACTATGTTGTACTTAGCTGGAAACCTCCTGGGCAGCGGGGCCATGAGGGTATCATGTACTATGTGGAAAAGGTAAAATTGGACAAATTAGGAATAAAAGAAAGATGGGAAATAGGAAAGTAGATGAACAATGTGTCACACCCCGTAATATTCTTAAATGGTGTCATTGACCTACCTGGAGTAGAAAGAACAAAACTTTTTCTATAAAGTGAAAGCACAGAGTAAAATCACATGCTTGAAAAAAAAAAATTCAAATAAATAAATAAATATGATATGATATGTTTATTTTTATGTCTATGCATCTCATATATATATATGATATTATATATATTATATTAGATGGATGGATGGATGGATGGATGGATGGATAGATAGATAGATAGATAGATAGATAGATAGATAGATAGATAGATAATTTGTATAGATGAAGTTTGTCTGGAAGGACAGATTGTTAACGTTTTGGATGGAAGCATTTTGCAAGAGTTTCTTGTCATCAGCGCTCTCTATTCCAGCTGCCTTTTCCTGTTTATCCTCTGCATTATCTTTCCATTTGCTCCACCAACTCAACAAAGATCACAAAATTTATTTTCTGATCTCCTAGAACAGAATCAGTTTTCATTTCAGTGGTTAATTTTTCCTAAGGTCTTTTTTCATGGCTGCTAGCCTAGAAAATTCTTCACACCATCACCCTTTCTACTTGCATCTCTTGGCTCATAAACTTTTTTATCAATGTTTTTTCCTATCAGTCTAGAGGTGTCATCAAGAGAGACATAAATATCTTCCCATTATGTGTTTTCATCTCTCATACAAAATCTGGTCTAAATAAATGAGTTTCACTTAGCAACAACCTTAGAGAGGATGAATATATGAATTTTGAATTTCTGTATAAGAAAGCTATTTAATAACCGATTTCATGATGAGTACTCAGGACTAATGTCACATAGATGAGAATTTGAATCCCTCAGAAACCAGAACCATTACTTGAAATTATACTTAATGTAAATCAAAGCAAAAAATTAATCACTAGTATTAGTGATGTAAGTGATCATTGTATGCAGAATTTCTAGCCACAGAAGTAAAAACAATTCACAAATGAATGGCAAATGTTATTTTTTTATGGAAATGAGGGCCAAATCATGATTAATTCTGAAAGCCACCCCAAAGACACTAGGAGTGCCACAAGAGCATCTAGAAGCAAAGTGGTAATGCTAGAGTTTTGCTCTTAGCATAATGCTGAATATCCACAAAACTCATTTTGAAAGTGGTCCAGACTGGGTGCAGTTAATAACATCACTTCCTTGCACTGGAGAGGGTTTAGCTCTGGTATATTAAAACCAGTACACTTTATGTATGTTTTCTGAAGTGAGTGAACATCTGGCAGATTCATAAGCTTTGAAACATGCTCATACTTTGGAAAGGCCCAAAGAAGGGATTCTCCATGGCAGACATGAACTCCAGTGGTCCAGTGGTTGTGTGAGATGCTCAGCCTTCAGATACTTCTCTTCTAAAGGTGGTTTCTGGGTTTGACTGCAGTGTGTTGCTGGCACAGAGGACTGGCAAAGGGTGAACACCGAGATCCCTGTGAAGTCCCCTCGCTTTGCAGTTTTTGATTTGTCTGAAGGCAAATCCTACTGCTTCCGAGTTCGCTGCTGCAATTCAGCTGGAATTGGAGAGCCCTCAGAAGCAACTGAAGCCACTGTAGTGGATGACAAACTCGGTAAGCGTGTGATCACGTGTAGTAAATCACCTCCATGGAAACCTTTCAGGTTGTGAGGTAGTTGTTTTGTCTGCAGGCAGGTAGCTGCTCAGAAAATAATTCAAGTATGAAAAGCAGTCAGAGATTTATTCCCTTTAGCTAAAGTAATTTTTGTTTGGGTTGTTCAGCCTTTAATGTACAGTCAAATGACAGATGCAAACCAAGGAAATTAAGCTGCAAATAACGATGCCAAGAACTGCAAAGACTGCAAATAGCAAAAGAAAATGAAAACTCAAGGAAGTATGAAAATGTTTTGTTTTACTTAGATTCTTTATTGAAAGTAAGCCTAGACATCAGCAGAGTCTAACCTTCCTTGTTTGCCAAATTAAACAAAAATGAAGAATGTAATACTTACATGAAAGCAGAGACTGTTTTCACTGGAAGAGGAGCCAAAATGTTCAATATAGTAAGTCATCAGTAGCTACACCTACATTACCAATTTGTTTCCAAACAGAAATGCAGCTTTCAATCCAATTCCCAAACGATCTCTGTCCACTTCATATTGACTTCTCAGAGCATCTGGATGCACATGAAATACATTTCTTAAGAAGAGTAAAACATCTCTTCTTGGAAAACCCTGTAGATACCTGTAATGGGTTTAATACCCTTTGCCACCTAACAGGAGCCTTGGTTTCTGGCTTATCCTGTGGGTTGCACAAGATCTTCAACATGCACCTAGCACATTTTCTCTTTCAGAAAGCTCCAAATCACATCTCTGGTGCAGATATTCAGCACAAGGGGGTAAGCTAGACATGATTTTAAGGAAATACACTGAATCCTAGGAATACAGAAGGGAAGAACCTCACCACCAAAGTCTTGAGCCTATCAATCCTGTCCTGTCCTGAGACATTAGTTAATTTAAATCAGAGTAGTTTTTATAAGGTTAAATCTGTAGTAGTCATAATAATATAATCAAGAATAGAATTTCATGCATATTTTATTTGTGAGTTTTAACTGGCAGGCTAATTTATTTCTGCTTCTCTCCCACAGATATTCCCAAAGCTCCTGGCCGTATCATGCCAACTAGGAATACAGATACTTCAGTTGTTGTCACTTGGACAGAGCCCCCAGATGCCAAGGAGCTGGTTGGGTACTACATTGAGTCAAGTGTGGAAGGATCTGGTCGTTGGGAACCATGCAACAACAATCCAGTGAAAGGCACAAGGTAATTAAACTATGGAAATGATGGTCACCAATGTCTGATTTATGGATATATGTCCTTTCCAGGCATTAGTAGTAGTAGAGCTAATCTTTCTGTGGTAGCCAGCAGACTGGAATCCCTCTTGCATGTGAAGCTCATAAGAAGTTATAAAAACATATTTCAAACTGTGAGTTTTGTCCAAAGAGAAATTATAATCAGCCTTATATTAGAAACAATTAATCAAGGGGAAGAAACATGGACATTGTTAATGAAGAAAAGAGAAGCAGTTTGCTACTTCTAGCTATTGTACAGCCTATCAGTTTGATGAAAAACAGGACATTGAGGAATGACTGAACTTACAAATGTGGAAAAATAAACTGCATAATGTTTGGAAGCAAAGTGCTTTGTTTTGGAAGACTGCTTTAAACATTTCTGGACTGTGTATCTGGACTGTCAGGAGGCCATGTGGACGATATCCCACTAAAAATATTACTTTCTGACTGCTCTTTCACTTGTAATCATCGAGAAATTAATGAACACTCTTAAATATTGGGTACAAACCCACATTTTTTACCGATATGAAGCTTGGTCTCCAGTCAGAAAAAATAATCAACATTTAAAACTTCCTGAGATAAATCAGATTTGGTTTCATTTGAGTAAGTATGTAATCTTCAGAGTCTGAAGGAGTAAGTGCAGAGCTTTTTACTCAAGTGGATTGATGTCAATACAGAAATAGTCCCTGACTGTTATGACTGATTCTGCTTATTTGTACTTGCTATCTGTGACAATGCTTATTACAATAAGTAAGACTCTGCTAAATACTTCTGGACCAATTTTGCTGTTTAGAAGGCCATTGTAAATGCTTAGTATATCAGAAGTACCTAAAATCTCACTTCACTGAACACAGACACAACAATTTCCTTTATGTGTTCTTTAGTGAATTTATATTGCATTTATATTTATGCGTGTCATTATTACATCCTTTCATAATATTTCTATGAGTTATACTGTAGTTATATCAAAAGTGGCTGAAGTTTCATGCTCTTTGCTTGTTTTAAAATATGAAATGTGACCTTTAATCACCATAGAAATAAAAATATTGTTCTGAGTTACTATATGTTGTGATACAAGTGCACTGCACAGGTTTCTAGTGCTGCATTTTTAGTCAGTGTGATATAATGTATGATGCAGTCAGGCACAGGCTGTCTGTTAACTCTTGTTTTTTCTGGCTGAGTCAATCTTAAAGCATTAGCTGTAGTTCATTTTGATGAACTATGCAGTGTATTTTGATCTTTTGAAATTCTGCACATGTCCTAGTGAAAGCAAATGACCTGGAAAAGTCTGATAGAATGTGTAGGGAAAATTCCACTTTGAAAATTTTGATACAGGCTTTTTTCCTTACCCCAAAATAAAACAGATTTTGTTTTTCACATTGTAGCTGCTTCATATGCCATAGCATGACATCAGCATTGGTAGTTCAATTATTACTACATTATGAAGTAGAAAAAAATCAAAGTAACATTGAATAAAATACACTTAAAATACCTATTGAAAAATAAATGGGGTTTTAAACAAACAAACAAAAAAGTTAAATTTCCATATCACAATCTATTCCTAAATAAATTATTCCTGCCTTTGGAAATTTTGTGTTTTCAGGGTGGACTCCAGAGAAAATTTATGAGGGTTTTTCTTATGTGACAATTAGATTATCAAGTAAATGTCTTCAAATAAAAAAAAATCATCTGACTTGGATTATTGTCAAGTATTGAAGCAAGAAAGTGAAGTACAAAAATAATGTAGCTCTTGTACAATGCCTTGTAATTTTTTTGAATGCTGCAGTTTTTCATTTATGATTGGAAGGGATTTATGGGAACCTGTGTTACATGTGTCCTTTACTTGTGTCATGAAAATATCCCACAAGAAGCAAATACAGACCTTACCTGTGCAGATTTTCACATTTTTCTGTTAGGAAGTATGGATTTTATATGCTGGCTGAAGTAAGGTATACCCTGTGGTAGCACAGGAACTTGTGTAGTCTCAAGAGGGAAAGATTGTTGAAATAGTGTGTCTTAAAAGAGGTGGGTTTAGATACTGTTGTGTGAATGAGGTGCCCAGATTCTGCATTCTCAGAACTTCATATAAGTGACTGGGGTCATGGTTTGTCCTTGGTTTATAGAAACCAGAATAAATATCATGGAAGAAATTCTTTCTTTCTTTCCCCCCTTAAACCTTTTCTTTATAATACTTTCTAAGTATTCCTTGTCTGGTTTGTTTTAGATTCATTTGCCATGGGCTCAGCAATGGTGAGAAGTACATTTTCAGAGTCAGAGCTGTTAATGCAGCAGGTCTCAGTGAATTTTCACAAGAATCAGAACCTATAGAAGTGAAAGCAGCCATTGGTAAGCTCTTCTTCATTGCCTCTTTCAACTGTAATTAATTAAGTAAATACATTCTCAGTTATTATTAGTAACTAATTAATTGTTTTGTTTCACAGTGTTGTCCACAAATAATAATTTATCCATAGATCCTATAGTCTCACAGACATAGTTTCACATTCACTGCACTCTTGTAGACTGTTCACCTTCACCATCCAGTTTTCTTCAGGTGTTTCTTGTGAGCCACTGTATGAGAGCACTGCCAAGTTCACTTAATAGGTATCCTGGAAAATGGGAATGTCATTCTGATTCTGTAATCTGGTATATCACCTCTAATGCACACCATCCTAAATACAGTCAGTTCCTAAGAAATTTGTTTCCATGGCTAAACCTAGTAGTGCAATGTGTCGCCTGTAAACCTGCTATAACCCTGTGTGCTCTCCCTTTGCTGATGGGTTGCTTCTGTTTGTCACTGCCTGAACTAATCCATAAAGATTAATGAGATCATTGCACTAGAATAAATTGTGTGTCTGCAACACCCTCACTCTCATTTGTATTGAAGCTGCATACCTCTCAACCTTAGAGCAGACATGTGGCTTAGGGCAATTTTGTGAGATCATCTTGATAGCATCAGAAATGTGACCTGGAAGATCTAATACTAAAATAGTTGTAGAAAAGTATGTAAACACAGTGACTTGTCATATGTCGGTTGTATTGTTCACTGCATGCATTTCTTCACTTTTTTGCCTAAATGAAGAAAAAAGAATGTGTTCTAAATCCAAATGTCTTTGCTGTTTTCTGGCAATTATAGGGGGAGGATTGCTTCATGGTGTGTGTCCTGAACTGAGTGGTAAAGCTTCTGGACTAACAGACTGCACTACCAGCTGGGAAGGCATGCATGGGGCTTCCCAGCCTATCTTTGACACAGATGCTTTGCTAAAATGCAATGCTAAATTTAATAGAGAGACACTGCCCAGTAGCTGTGGCAAGCTGGAGAGTACAGGAGACAGTAACACGAGAGAAATGGTTAAGGACGCTGTGACATCTGCACCACAAAAAGTTGCTGCTAAGCAGGCAAGTAAGTCCCGATCTGGGGACCTTTTGACAGTGGAAAAAGTTACAAAGAAGAAAGATACAGGTGAGAATTAATGAAATAAATAGATTTTTCAGCTTTGGTAGGTCCACTTCAGACTGCTGTAACTTCTGTTCAACTGTGTCACAAGTGAGTGTGCTCTACAGTGATGCGTCTTCTATCAAAGCCTTTAATTATGTGCTCAACTCTGCATTAAGATCATTATGCATGTAATGGTACTGGAGGTCACTTTACAAACTTAGTGGTTAATGAAAGTGAAACATATCAATATGGTTAGTAATTTAATGGCTTGTTTGACTGCATATTAATGTATCCAAAGTTGTATAAGATTTCTAAATCACTTATGTACTTTGTGAGGAATCTGATTACCTAGTTCTCTGGGTTATATATATAGGAAGGAAACAAAATCTGATTATGATGGTAAGCATGAAAATTTGTGTTCTGTTAGGTAATTTGAAGATCCTTTGTGGATTTTAGCCTAACCTCCGTCTTATCTGCTGACACGCTGTGCTAATGAATGTTTTGTTCTACCCCTGACTAATAGTGATATGTATGGAGGAAAACCTAACAAGTTACAGGCACATGCACAAAATCATGTTTAAAATTTCAGTGCCTGAGCATCCATTTTGCCCAAGATATGCGGGGCTTGAATTTCATTTAAGTCCTGGTACCCGGCCAGGGAACTAAACTCCTCCCTAGGCCTCTGAAGTGAGACACAAAATGTTGAACAGAAAACAAATTAGGGGCACCTGGGCCTAGCTGACACAAATATAAAACATTACACACAAAAGGAAACATATATGATGTGGGATTTCCATCCAAAGTATGACTTCAGGGCACAAGTAAGGCTTTCCACTGGTATGTTACATATTGGATGTGGGCAAGCATTTTCTTACTAGATACAGAAGAAATATAAGAAAGTGGGTTGGTATGAAGTGAATGATTTCTGTATTATTTAAAAGAAACAATCTAAGAAGGAAGATTATGCCACGTGTTTTTTAATGTAAGTTCCAGTAACAGACATGTTCCATTTCTGGTCATACTGCAGTGCCTATGATCACTCTGCCTTCCATTAAGGTAAGATCACATGATGGGTGCAATGATAAAATTTGCACAATGTATAAATTTAAAAGAAAAAAAGGAAAAGATAAAGGCAATTCTTGGGACGAAAGAATGTGAGACTATTTCTCTTAAAAAAAGGAAAGGACAATGAATATTGTATTGCAAAACGGGGTTTGCTTTCTGCAAAAGAAAACAATCATTGCATCTCTAATTTTTTTGCTTTTCCTGCAATGTCAGTTTTAGTTTCTCATTTTTTCACAGAGTAAAGTGAGTCCTGATCACTTGCATCAGAGCTGCAATTGCAACACATTCTTTTGCTATGTATCAGCCTTCTTTACAACAACAGGGAATCCTGAAAACTAATTCCTATGCAGTTTGGACTTTGCATTTGGTTTGTGGAAGCATTTATTCTGCATTTCTTAGTCCAGTTCCAGAAACGTCCCTTGAGCACATAAATGCTGTCCTAATTAGGAAACACGGGATAGGAGCCACTTGCATACGGTAAGTGAAAGCAAGCCTGAAATATTGCCTCCTACTTACGTGTTATTCACATTGGAACAGCTGCTCCATCTCCACCTTACGACATCGTGGTGCTCGAGAGTGTTCGTGACTCCATGGTCCTGGGATGGAAACAACCTGAAGCCATTGGTGGAACTGAAATTACCGGCTACTACGTGAACTATAGGGAAGTGGTTGATGGAGTTCCTGGGAAATGGAAGGAGGCCAACATTAAGGCTGTTACTGAGAGGGCATACAGGGTAAGAGATTAACTCCAGTTATTGCTGGGGGAGCTGCCAGTATTTTCAAATCAAATCTCAAAGATGGGTTGGGATGAATTATGATTCAGTGTACAGATAGCTATTCAGAGGGTTTTAATTCCATGATGGTAAGTTTATTAAGCCCTGTTTAACTTCTCTGCAAAATTGTTTGTACGCTTATTTGTTCATCTGGCATCAACTGTCATCTGCAAATTCACTGAGATCATCTGATATCTTGTAAGTTAGGCCCTCACAATAAATGGAGCTCCTACTGGTTTGATGGACATATCCCAGTGCTTGCTGGTGCTGAAACCAGCTCTGTGCCAGCTGCTTTTTGTGATCAGTTCTTGACCCAGTTTAGAGACAGTGCTACCTACAACCTCATTGAGCTGCTTTAGAAATGAAAAAGCAATGCCAGGACTGAGTTTCACCCCGCTGTGAGGACAACTCTTGGCTTAAGTGAACTTGCTCCATGCCACGAGACAGACTAAGATGATTGTTGAGTAATACCCTGTTTCCTCCCTGGCTACCAAAGTGTATCAATAGGAAAAGAGGGTTGCAATTTGAGTGTGCTGAGATCACTCATGTGTGCTCCATCACTGGTCAGAGGAAAAGCCAAGATAATTGTCATGTTAAGATGTTAATAATGCTTCCATCTTCAGTCACACTTAAAAGCATGCTCATGTTTTCAACAATTGTCATTGTGACTTTCTTCTGAAGTCCTAATCTGAAGTTAATAAGTACCATCTTATTGATCCTGCAGATCCAAGACCTGAAGGAAAACATGGTGTACCAGTTCCAGGTGGCTGCTGCTAACCTGGCGGGGGTTGGGACACCCTCCAAACCCAGCAAGCCCTTCAAATGTGAAGAGTGGACCATTGCTGTGCCTGGTAGGATCCTGAGTGTGACACAGCCCAGGGGTGCTCTGGGACTGATTATCTAATGCAAGCATTTTGCAGGGGAGTCAAAGGGACACTGAAGTTCACAGCCAGGCTTGAATCATCAGCACTTTGATTTAGTACCATTACAGTGATGCCTTACATAATCCCTATTTAAGTAGCAGCATTTTACAAGCAGCTTCTTTAGTTTTCTTTATCTCTCCTCCGTTGTTCCTCTACTGTGTCTGGCACTTTGCTTGCTAGTTCAAGTACTAGACATTGATACCTGTCTAGGATACAAGGCAGAGAAGAATGGGGTCTTGTAACCCTTGTCTAAATGTACAAGGCCAGATCCCTGACCTTTTAACATTCATTGAAATGAATGAAAACAACCTCCACTGACTTCAGTGGACTTTAGACCAGTCCTTGAAGCAGTACATTAGCTTAATTATTAATTTATTTCCCTGAGTTTGGGGATTATTTGTCCATTTTGTAAGCTTATGAATATTTGATCAATATACCAATCTCAACCAATTAGATTGTGTTTTGGGTTAGTCTTTTTAATTGGGATGGATTGTATGTACATTGGGTCAAAGTATGATACAGAGGAGCTAAATGTTATATAAATTCTGAGTACCATTCTAGGTTCTGTCTGGTTTTGGTTCTGGAGTCTTATGCATTGGTCCCTTTGGGATTTATTTTGGTACCGCAACTCCAACTTTTACATTTCAGGGCCACCCCATGATGTCAAATGCACAGAAGTTAGGAAGGACTCTCTGGTTTTACTGTGGAAGGAACCAGTTTATTCTGGTCGTAGTCCCATAGTTGGTTATTACGTTGATATGAAGGAAACTGAAGCAAAGGAGGAGCACTGGAGGAGTGTCAATGAGAAGCCACTTCAAAAGAAATTCTTGAAGGTAAATAGCTGAAGACTCGAATACTGGCATAGCAGCATAACCTTGGGGATATATAAACCTCAGTTTGGACAGCATCATCCTGCGCTGATCATGGCTCCACTTAAAGGAATTCTCAGTAGGCCATATGATACATAATTTTGTGGAATGACTTCTGAATAAGTCATCAGCAGTATCAGTTCTAGAGATAAGTCTGAAGTAGGCTTGCTATTTTTATGCTTTTCAGAATAGTTGAAAGAAAAGTAATTTTAAAGTGTCATCCTTTCATATATGTTTTATAGAATATCCCCAGGTGACATAATGTCAGTATAATTCTTCAAGTCACTCCAATTAAATCTGTACTATTAAGTTCCCTCTTGTTTCTAAGTAGGTGTGGTTGGTACTTATTACCCTGATAATTTAATTTTTTAAAGCCAGCACTTATCTGCAGTAGAAGACTATGATGTTTCAGAGGTCGATGTACCTCTGAAGGTTAAAAACATCCTGTTCCAAAACCAGTGTTCCTTTTGCTAAAAAATCAATGACAGCCATGATGCTGCCTGAACATTAACCATGCACACAAGGAAGGAGCAAGTCACACAGATTAGTCACGTCACTCTGTAATTGAATAAGAAAAAGGAGAGCTGGAAAAGAAACAAAACAGGAAAGGAAACAGAATTGTCAAATACCCAGACTGATCCTAATAGGTGTGAAATTAAAATCAGTTTTTTGCAACACACCGCTATATATATTTGGTTCTTGCAGATTGGTGGCCTGACACAAGGTGTGAGCTACGTGTTTCGTGTGCGGGCAACAAACCAGGCCGGCGTTGGGAAACCGTCAGATGTCACAGATGCTGTCATAGCTGAAACACGACCAGGTTCGTTAGAAAGACTTCCTCTTTGTCATCATATTTACACAGGTTCCTCTTTGTGCAATGTGTTTACCTGCAGGCTACATGCCAAGAATCCGATCCTTCTCAAGTCAAGCTTTTTTATGAAACAAGATATGAGCTGAGGGCCATATCTTAAGTTCATTGTCTGGCATATTTTAAGGTCAGAACAGGTTTTATCGCAACTGTAGGTTCAGGAATATAAAGATACAATAAAGTTGTAAGATTTGCATGTCTCTACAGGTAGGTGCATAAGTAGAGGACTGAGCAAGATCAGCTCAATGAAATAATATTACAGATGTAAATTTTGTCTTTCCTGTATTAAACCAGTTTATGCTTTATCATTCTCCTTTTCTTATGTAATGTGCCTCAGGAAAGAATAAAAGAAACTACATTTTTTCTCTTGGTCTTTAAAAGAAAGGCTTTAAAAGCACAGTGAAGTAATTTTGGAGACCACTTTTAGTAGGAATTCAAGTGCAACTCTTTGTTGGAGTCATCCTTGAAGGCTGGCTCCAGTGCATGTGTAAGACCAGCAAGAAACACAGGAATGAGTGCAGAGGTAGCATCTCCATACCTGGAATTTTGGAACCTCACAAAGCCCCTGGAATTTATTTAGCTATACAAATAAAATAGATGACTGGTCAGAGACAACACCTTTTTGTCACCAAGCCCCTAACAGAAAAGACAAGCATGGACTTGTGACTTACTTGTCTATCGAGTATTTCAGAAGTACAGGGTCCTACAAGGTGCAAAAATGAAATCCCAGATATTTTAGACAAATCTAGTATATGGTTAGTATGATGTAAGAAGGTACAGGGGTAGAACTCAACCTGGATCCATCATACACCCCCTTCTCCTCTGACAGTTTCCTTTGTACACCTGCAGACCTCATTTCCCTGGGATCCTTTCCCAGCTGCTGACCCCAGGTTAATTTTTACATCCTCCTGCTCAGCTCTCATATATGCCCAATCCTTATGATCAGGACAACAAAAATTCTACCAAGTATTGAGTTAGACCTCATCAGTAAGGCCGTAAGTCAAGAAAGCCTGAAAAAGGAGGTCTGAAGCTAGGGGTGTAAAAGAACTGGAAAACTCAGAGTAGGGAGACTGGGGTGACTGCTATTGAGCTGGGATGGGAAAAAGGGACTGCAAGGAGTAGATGGTCAGTTGAAAGCATGTGAGACTGAGATACAGGGACAAAAAAAAATGAGGATAATTGTGTGAATAAGAAGGGTTTGAAACAGGATCTTTGAAAAATATAGGAAACATAATTTCAGATCTATAAGCTGCTGAAGCACCTGGGCTATTTCTACTACCTGCAAGTGGAGTAAGGCAAACCTTAAAAATTTATTTCCTGAAAACATTTTCTGAAAATTCTTGAAAACAGCTGTACACAGCAGCCACTTCTAAAAAGAGAATTAAGCTACTATTAATACTAAATTTGGCTTTGATAATTTGTTTTCATTGAGGGTTAATATCTGTACATCATACTTCTGATAAAACATTGTGATGATAACACTCAAGTGTCCTAAATAAAGAATTGACCATGTTACCACAAACGAAAAAAAAAAAATAAACTCTTGTGAAGATGACCAACATCACCTAAAAAATTGTACAGTGTTTTCAGTGTTCACTCAAACAAGGTGAACTTCAGCAGAACATTTGGTTTACAGACCTCACTGTTAAAGGAGGCTTCATAGGTATGACGTCTGAGGGATCACCAGAAAGTGAGGATTTATCCCAGCGAGCACTCAGGGATACTGGAAATTACTTATGTGTACAAATCTACTTGACCCATATTTTGAGCTGAGATCTGCTGATACAAAATCCATCAAACTAAGCTTCTTAAAGGTATTAAAAAAAGACAAAAACTTATTAAAAACAATTATTTCGTAAAACAGCCTCTTGAGCAGGCTTCCACCTTTCTCACTCTCACCACAAAAATGTCAAGAACAATCACACCACTTTTAAAAAATTACCAAAAATATTTTGGTGCTGCCCAATGAATCATGCCTCTATGTCTTGGAAAAAATATTGTAAGGTCTCTCTAGACAGTTCCTGCTGGAATGCCACATTTGGCAAATGTGTAAAATCGCAAGAAAACTAAGACTTGTAACCAAAGAATGTAACCAAATAATACCCTGAATGAAAATACCTGCTTTCATACAAAGGGTGCTAGGTGTCTTTATCCAATGGAATGTGTAACTATAATGATTCAATACTTTGCATCTGCTTTCTTTTCTTTGAAAACCACGTTTAATTTGTACAGTTATCTTCTAAAATTAAATTAAAAATCCCAACCATGAAAACAAATACTAATCCAGGCTAGTTTTGATCTGTTGCTTTGGCTTTTGACAAAAGCACTTCAGTGTATGTTGATCTTGCAGGAAACAAGAGAAATCTAAGAGCAGACTGCAACTCTTCTGCATTGCTGCCTTTAGTCCTTGTTTATCTTGATACAAAGAAAAATTAGATTATGAACTTGCATCAGCCACCTCAGAAAGGCCTGAACCTCAGAAATTGAGGAAACTCTGTGCCATTCAACTTTCCTGATCGGCTGTATTCAAAATAATGCCATTACCTCTAGTGTGCAGAAGATGCCTGCTTTACGTTCTGTTGTTTCTTTCCTTTCAATGCAATAAAATTCTCAGATAAATGGAGATGTGATATGACATCTAAGTATTTTATTTCTTACTATGACTCTAAGAGAAGCTCTGCATGATATGTTGAAACCACCAAGCTATCTAGAGGGAAACTAAGACTGCTAGTACTATGGCAGCTTCTTTGGCTCCACTTGGCAGGATATGTGGAGTGAGGTCTTCAAATGTGGTCAGTAATTTAGATAATTTTTTTTTCACTTATATAAATATTAGAGGTAAATTCCATCATCAGTTCTGGAAATAAATGCTATACATTGTTACCATAATGAGAATGCTTTAAAACAAATGTAAAAGATTCTCTTTTTCAAATTAACCTAACGGCTGTAATTCTTTCCGTGTCATATAAAGTGCCATCAAAAGATTCATGGTCTAATGACCTAGAGGAAACTAAACACTAATGAAATTTCAAGTGATGAATTTTGCATATAATAAATTAAATTATAACCACAAAATTGCAAATACACTATTGCCTAGTAAAATATTTGCAGGTCTCAGATTTCATTTATCACATATTGGTACTTAATGTGCTTCACTACTGCAAGGGCTGGTACATAACAGTACCAAAATGGGAATATTAATCTCATCTTTCATTAAATGCTTATGGCAAAGTGTGAAGACTAAGAAAGCTGTGCATACTCAGATTGTCATGACAGGAGCTGCTCACAGTGCTGGAAAAGACATGTATAGTATTAGGATGACGAAACACAGAAATCTCCTACTATGCTTGAGGGTCACTAAGAATTATGCTGAAAATAAAGCATTTCATCTCAGTGTCAGGAATAAGGCTCCTGTCCTTGAAATACAATACTTTGTGGTGAAAGTGTGTCATTAGTATTCTGGGCAGCCCAGAATTGTCTTAGCTCAAGTAATAGGACATGAGTGCCCTATTCAGATGTGAGATCCAGCTCAGAGCTGTTCAGAAAAGAAGGCTGGATGTTCTCCAGCACCTCTCAGTGCACATGCTCTCCCTGACATTCTCAGACAAGTTGTTGAAATGAACATTAATGCCACAGATGACAAGCTCACTGGGTTGCCCAAATCCTGGATGAAATTCCCTCAGCTCCACTGGGGTGTGAGGCAGCAGAATAGAGGTGCCTTCAGGTTGCTGACCCAAAATTCACCCCCAAGGCCTTTTAAGGGACAAACTGGGTCACCCTATCCAGCTCAACGACTGAAGGTACTGGCAAGACTGGGTGGGTGACATAAGCAGCTAATTGCAAATATTCACTCCCTTTGTGGGCCCAGGATTAATGGTGCAGACGGCAGCAGGGCTGGATGCCAAGCACAGCAATTAAACCAACCTCCCTGAGCAAAGCCAGTGTCACCAAAAATGTGCCTCAGACACAAATGTGTGCTGCTGGGGCAACTCGACTGCTTCCTCTTCTTCACCTCCTCAAATGCTCACATTTGCATATTATTCCCTGTATAGCACTTACCTTTTTAGAGAATAGGAAATCCATGCTGTATAATGAAAGCTCTAATGACCCCTTACCATGGAAAATATTTGATGGCTCAGACATTTAGTGGATTTAGAATTTTACTTTTTTTCCCCGCTTCAGGCTTTTTCATAGCAAATACTGCAACTCTTGTGTATGCTTAGATGCTTAGATTCAAGCAAATAAATTAGTTGATTTATGATGTGTTTAACCTGTGGATTAGAAAAAGAACTGTTTTTGTGAATCAAAGACCAAGAATGAGTGCAACAATTTATGTTCCAGATGAGAAAATGGCAAGGATCTGTTTAATCCACTCTCTGAATGATATCTATAGAAATTTGTTTGCTGACTTCTCTGAGAAACTGGAATTGCCTTTTTCTGCTCTTTAAGGAACCAAGGAAGTGGTGGTTGATGTAGATGACAATGGAGTAATTTCCTTGAACTTTGAATGTGATCAGATGTCTCCAGACTCGAAATTTATTTGGTCCAAGAATTATGAACCAATTGAGGATGACCCTCGACTGAACATCGATACCAAAGGCGGAAAGTAAGACCCTCAGGGGTAGAAATAGTCTCATGTTTGAGAGATTTAGACTGTCACAGAAATCCCTCCTCTTAATATATGACCTCAGGAAGAGCTAAAACTGCCTCTGTTACTTGATGGTTACTTCCTGAGAATGCTGTTCTCTAGTAAATCCATACCCAGACCATTTGGAGATTGTAGCTCGCCCAGAATGAGTCAGACCTCTTCTGTAGGCACTTTAGTCATGTTTAGGCACAGGGAGAGAAAATCTGTGCCCTGTCACCTTATAACCTGTCAGCCAAGCCGTAGTAGTAGCAGTAGTAGCAGTATTCCTATTCCTATTCCTATTCCTATTCCTATTCCTATTCCTATTCCTATTCCTATTCTTTTAAATCTCCAAATAATAAAATTATCTTTCTCCTTGCAAAATACATTTGCCCTGTAATGCAGCTGTAGTCTTTGGAACTGCTGCAGTAAGCAAGGCCTGCTTGTGATGGCATCACCATGGCCTGATTTAGTAACTTATATAACCTCTCCAAGCCTACTCTGTTTCTCCAGGCTTTTCCCAGGGGAAGACAAAGTGAATGCACAGGTTCAGCCCATGAGGGGCCTATGTGCTCTCCTAGTGACAGAAACCATACTGAAAGAAACAGTGGCCCACCACAGTCATGGTGCTGCCATATGGAAACTGAGGCGGCCTTTACCTACAGTATCCTTCCAGGGTCGTCAAAGACTTGACAAAACACCTTTTTTCTTTTGGTGTCATCACCATTTCTACCACACATGGTAGGACTTACTCTGATTTATCATTGCCAGAGCTGAACATTTGTCTGTTCAGTCAGAGAAAAAGCTAACAAAAAGCTATTTATATCTGGTATTATAGACAGAAAGGAGGGGTTTGTTTCAGGTGGATTTCACCTTTTCATCACAACACTTTTTTTCCCCTTTATAGGTCAAAACTTTCCTTTAAGGATCTTGGAGAAGATGATTTGGGAATTTACTCCTGTATTGTTACAGACACTGATGGAGTTTCATCAAGCTACACAATTAATGAGGAAGGTAGACGCAATGCCTACTAAGCTTTCCCAGTTTGCTTTCACATCTGTTTTTCCCTGCTGCTGTGTCTCTCAGATCCAAAAGGCACACACACACCTCAGATTACTTCTTTTATGTCTTTTGCAGAAATGAAACGCCTGCTTGCTCTGAGCCACGAACGCCAATTCCCAAGTAAGTGAATCAATCCTGTCTACAGGGGAGAGCTTTGCATGCAGTGGGCTATCACAAGCCTGATTTAGTTGAAGATGTCCCTGCTCCTAGCAGGGGGCTTGGGACTAGATGACTTTGAAGGTCCCTTCCAACCCAAACCATTCTATAAATCTATGGTCACAAAGCTCCTGCTTTGTGGAGGTAAGGAGGTCACTATAGTAATTTCAAGTGAAAGTGTGTTTGGATTGATAAAAATTAAGATTCTTTTTTTACCCTCCCTCTTTCAGTGCATTTATATATTACTGATGTTCTTCCCAAACTATTGCAGGCTACTGGTTTATATATAGACCAGTATGTCTGTATAACAGCTGGAAAATAAATAACATATTGGCTTTTCTTATTCTGCAGAAGAGGTTTCAATACTTACTCAGCATGCTTGACCTGATTTGAAAACCAGAATTTGAAAGATTCTCCAATTTTACTCCAACAGAAGTTAACATAAGTTAAATTTAAGGTTAACAAATTTAGCAAGTGTAGTAAATTCAGCTGTAATGATCCATATGTACAGAATTTTCCTGCTGAAATTCATTCTCTCCTTCTTTCCTGGAACATTTGACAAAATTTGAACATGCTTTCTACTCTTGGGATGGTATTTTTGTTAACTCCACAGACATTTATGATACCCTGGTAGAAGCACAATTTGGTTATTTTTATTGGAATATTACTTGAATAAATAGGGGGGAAATAATATTGGAATACATAATGAATGTTGATGCACACAACAAGATGAGACCTAAACCTGGTCTCATCTTCTCCTACTATATTCTCTTCTTTTTCATTCCAAGCACTGAAAATTTTGCCTGCCTTTTAAAATCTTCAGCTTAGTGCATGCACTGGTGGCACCTCTTCCAAGTCAGCCCACATCACACTTCTCAGCCCAGCCAGCCCTTGGCTACAGATATTGCCTGTCCTTTTGCCTACATCATCTCTCTCATTTCCTTCTTTGTCTTTTTCTCATCAGCTCTACTCTTCTCAACATACTGTATCAGCTTTTGAAAGTTTAATGACAGCCCAAACAAACCCTTGTTTACTCCTGCTCCTCCCAATTATCTTCTCCTAATTATATTTTCACACTAAGAGTCGGTCATCAAAAAACCTTGCTGTTGTCGCATGACCTAACTTGCCCTGACCCTTTCCTCCTGAGGACTCTTCCATGCTATTTGTTCACTACCAACATCACAAAATAAGCTCCTCAGGACACAGATCATAGCATCTTTTTTCCACTGTATTAGGTAACAGCAATTACATAGTTGTACATGAGCTTCCAGGAGGCACAGGCAGAAAAGGGAGATCACTGCAGAAAGTATCCTTAAGGAGGAAACTGTCTTATGTGCTTTGGCCACTCTGGGCCCTTGTTTACACTTCAAGAAAAATATATATTATAACTAGGGGCTGAGATTCAGCCGTCTGTACTTCTGAGCAGCAATTAATGGAACTTCTGCTTAGAAACACATGCAGCCAGTAACTCCACAGGGAAATGGATTGCTTGGATAACAACCTTGCAGAGCACAGCTATGTATGGGGACGACAGTGTGTTGGTATGAGGTAAAAAGAAACTCTTCCAATTCCTCAATTTAGCAACTGCCCAAGGACTGCCTGTCAAGTGCTGCCAGTAATTTGTGATGCTATACGAATAGGATGTAAAACCACTGGAAAGTGCCTAAAATAGCTATCAATGCTTATGGAAATATTTTAAATAGGACTTTTGCTCATGGCAGACTGTAAGGCAAATTCGTTCAGTTCCTTTAGGCTGAGAAGTGATCAGACTTTTCTCCAAAAAAGAATCCTTTTGCATCCTTACAGCCATTTATTTAACAGCTGCTGAGATACTTTTCTCCCTTCCATGTTAGACTAAGATATTCTTAGTTAATAACAGGCAAGCCAAGTGGGGGTTTAAAATTGCTGTAGTGATGACAGTGAGACAAAAGCAGTGCAGCCTGATGTCTATTCACACTCCCACTTGCTTCCTGTAGCATTTCAGTTGCTTTGTTTTAAGAAATTATGCAAGCCCTGAGATTCCTTCAGTTTCTTACACACAAAGTGATGTGCTGGGTGAGGAAGGCTCACACGGACCATTTGCACAGCAGGGACACACTTCCATGGGGCTGTCCTTGCCCCACTCCATGGCAATGCTGCTCTTCCAGGCTCCAGGCTTTTCCCGCTCTGGTTAAGCATGTGCTTTTTCCATAACTCTCTTTGTCCCTGTGACTGTTGCCTCACCTCCAAGGAGCTTTGTTTTCATCAGAGGCAGACGCTGTGCCATTCGGGCACTAAAAGCACAGATGTGGGTGTGGGGTGTGGGAGGGAGAAGGAGTGACTATGGCAAAGGAAGAGCTGAGGGGACCTCATTCCCTAAATCTGTTTGGCAGTGGTGTGGGATGGCAGCTGTGCTCCAGAAGGCACCCCTGTCACTTAGAACGGTGCAAACAGCAGGATGAAAGAAATCAGACACTGCTTTGGTCTCCTGGTGCAGCTGAGCCTGCCTACACCTAGCTAAAGAAACCATCCTGCCCTGGGAGGTGTGTCTTTACACTTCCACCAGACTATATCATCATCTGTTTTGCAACGTGTTTGTGCACTGTCCTCAGCTGTTCCACCCTAGCAATGCAGACTTTACACTGCTGAGAAAGTAGAGCCTGAGGGAGAGCTCACACACCGCAGCACACGTAATCCTGAGAGTATGATTTTCACTGCACATCCGCTAAGACAGATAACATGACAAAGTCAATGAGATGAGCAATCTGCCCCAATATCAGAGTCTAGCTACTCATGATTAATGTTACTGACTATGGTGTCTTAAAGTGAAAGCAAGCTGAATGCTGTTACATCAGGAACTAACTAGCTAAAAAAGAGTTACCTATGGTATAGTGCACAATTTTTGCTTTTTTTTTTCCCCGTTGAAACACTGAATTGGTTTCTATGTTGGAGTTTAGGTTATTTATAGGAAAACAAAATGTACTGGGGAGACTGAGGATGTGTTTGGATATTTGGTGAATTCTGGAGATGGAGGTTCCACTCGGCAGAGGATCAGAGTGTTTCCAAAAATCTCCCAACCTACAGCTCAGCAGCTGACTTTCTGATCTGTCTTTGTGCTTGGAGTTTTTTTGTGTTTTGTTTTGTCTTTTTCCCCTCTGAGTCAGTTCACTGTCATACAGTAATATTATCAGACAACTCATTAAACATGGGTCTGCACCATACAGACTCATGTAATGCTGCACAGATACTTGCAGTTTGCATTTGAAATAGCCTTGTTTTAGAATGGAGCATAGCTCAAATCTTGAACACTTTTAGTTGTGACAGGCCTTGTGATTGAAGGATCAAAAGACTAAATCTCATCTGTCACTCTATGTATATGTGGGTGGAGAAGCATTCTGTCTATATGAAGAGCTGATATGAACTAGTTACCTTGCATATTGTATTTGAGTATGGAAGGATTAAGTGGCTTTCTGGTTGTAGCAGACAATAGTTGTTTGGGCACAGGCAAAATATTTGCATTACTCTTTTCTTTCTTCTTTGTAGCTGTCCCACTTATCTCTGAGTTGGCAGTGGAAATCTTGGAAAAAGGAGAAGTGAGATTCTGGCTGCAAGCTGAAAAACTGTCTGGCAATGCAAAGGCCAACTTTGTATTTAATGATAAGGAGATTTTCAATGGAGAGGTAAGGCTTTTACTGCTTACATGTGTTTGCATTTTCATGAGTATCAATGAGGATTAGTGTCTCTATCTTCAGTATACTTCCAAGTAGTGTTCCACTCTGATGCATTTTCATGAGAAATAGCATATGTCATGGAAAGCATGATTAGAAAGATTTTATCCATTGTTCTGAGCTCCAGATGAATTCTACATGCATTTCATAAAGTGAAGTTATATGCCTTCCTGCCACTTTTGTGAATACCATGTGTTCTACTAACTGTGGTCTTCAAGGAATCACTGCAATTTCCCAGACTCCTCCTACCTCCTTCACCTATAGCCCTAGAATACCCTTGTTCTCATCTCTCTTTGTGGTTTGAAGGAATTTCTTAAATCACAGAAAAATTCCCAAATGGTTGTTTCCAGCTGCAGAATTTCTTACCCCCAAAGACATGAGGGTAAGACATGGCATGACTTTGTTGGAACACTGATAGCAGATAGAAGGCAGAGGTGAGAACTCTAGACACAACTTTGTAAAATATAATCACCCTCAAAGAAAGCATTATTCTGAAGAGATGCAAATCTAAACCTTTCTAATGAAAAGGAACATAGTACTCACTGTGCAACAGGCATGTCATGTGCTTGTACAGCATCAGTAAATAAACAGATTGATCTATTTGTTTCTACATTTGGAGCTGGAGCTAGGGCTAGTGAATCTAGAATAGGATAGGGATATGAACAAAGGGGAACCAGAGTAAGTGGGAATCCTAATAAAGAAAACATAATTTCTCTTAAAGTGAAGATTAAAACACTTCACAAATATTTTCTGTCTCTGACATGTATTAATTGTTGCTTTACTTTCCACTCCTGAAGAAATACAAAATGAAGGTGGACCGGAATACAGGCCTTGTTGAAATGATTATGGATAAACTTGAGGAAAAGGATGAAGGAACTTACACGTTCCAGCTGCAGGATGGAAAAGCAACCAATCAATCTAGTCTTGTCCTCATTGGTGATGGTAGGCTAATCTGTTTTATGCAGTGGGCTGAAAAAATTATACCAAGGCTATGTCAGTTGTCATCTTCGCTTTTCACTGGTGTTTTTGACACCAATAGAAGTTCCAGGGTTTTTATGTCAGAGTTTTGCCTGTCTCCTACAGGACAGGGTATATGTGTGAACTGAAACTCTTAAAGTGATGGGAGGAAGGGGAATTGTTACAGAAATGTAAAATACTGCAGCATGTCATGGTTTGCTTTCCTGTGGGTGGAATGAAAATTTCCCGTATAAAAAGTCCATTCAGCTGGGAACAAGTAGCTGCACCTGTTAGAGCTCAAGCAGCTGCTGACTGCTGCCTCTCATTTGCCTTCCAGCCAGGAGCTGTATGGCTGGGGACTGCACATCATCAGACAGGACACATTAAATTCCTGATGACTGCAAGCAGCCAGAAAAGTTGAGTTAGCCATAATGAGTTTCTGACACTCTGCAATGTTAAGTGAAAACCTGATCCAATGGCCAGATTCTCACTGACATCCAAGGGACAGAGTTAGACCAAGCTGTTGCAGTGACATTTAGCATCGTACAAATGGTACATGAAGTTTTGACCTTGTATTTCTTACTGGTTTTCATTGCTAGTATTCAAGAAGCTACGGGATGAAGCAGATTTCCAGAAAAAAGAGTGGCACAGGAAACAAGGTGATAATATGAATTCTTATAAGAATCACATATGTGTTAGTCTGTTAAGAGCTTTTTTATATTTATCTATATTAATTTGAAGTGCATGGGGCTTATTGTGTTATGTGGTTACTTCTGAAGCAGAAATAGGAAAAATAAAGCCACATTAAAATATAACAGTATTCTTGTCAAGTAAAACACATCTGACTTTCATTTTGCATCATGAATACCATTGACTTGACTTTTAAAAATATACCTGTAATTTCAAACAGGTCCTCATTTTGTGGATAAACTGGGATGGGAAGTTACCGATGAGTGTAATGTCATGTTGAAATGTAAGGTAAGGGGCAAGGAAAACCCCGAGTAAAATGTTCAGAGTACATTGGCCTACCACTACCTAGATGGTGAGGATGGGAAGGGACTGAAGACCTTTGCTTTCATACTCCCAGCTGCATGTTGGATAGTGACAGAGCCTCTGAGGCTTAATCCTGCTGAGGTGACAGCTCACTGCATGTAACAAAGTGTGTTGGAAAACAGCTTGAACTTCTTTCTTCTGGTGTATCAGCCACCCACTCAGAAAATCACCTGAAACAGAATGACAAGTCTTTGTAAATCCAGGGGTTTACTAATTTTTGGCCCGTTTATGCATGTAGAAATTCTCTGAGCAGGTTCAACTTTTCTCTCTCTGCATCCCTGTTGTTTTCCCTCTTGCCTTCCTCCTTTTAAAATGGAGGCCTGCAGTAACTCACTGCAATCAGTTTGTAAAGCTTGCTGTTCTACTGTGAGAGACCTGAGCACGCTAACCCATGGAACAAGCTAACTCAAATTACAACACTGAGCTCTCCTGCTCAGATGAAGTGAATAATTGCCATGTGGTTTTCATCCATTTTAGGTGGCTAATATTAAGAAGGAAACACACATTGTGTGGTACAAAGATGACAGGGAGATAATGGTAGATGAAGAACATGACTTCAAGGATGGCGTGTGTACTCTGCTTATATCAGAGGTGAGTGACTGTCTTCATTAGCCCTCAGCTGAAACTAGTGCTCAGATAAATTATATGATCTGATCTTGTACTCCAGCAGAACAATTGAAAAAGGAAGTGGGTTTTAAAAATGGAAAAGCTCACAAGGCGTCTGTGTTTTCGCTAAAGCAAATGTCTGTCTGCAACTGCTTGTTCAGATTTTCAGGAAATGATGACAGAAGAGATAATAAGCTTGTCACTTCCTTTACATGTCAATTTAGCAAAAGATTGAGACCACATTTCCATTCTGAATAGCATTTGGAAAGTGCTTGTCACTCAGGCTTTCAGAGTCACCAGAGGGGTCTTGCTCATACCCAGCTTTGCAGCAGATTTGGGGTAGGACATGGTCCTGGCATACCAGGACCTCCCACCAAAGCCCATTCCACCAACCCAGCCAGAACAAGGGCAGCTGGGGGGCACGGGGGCAGCCCCAGCCATTGGGTACCTGCCTGGGGACAGGAACGGGATATCAGCTGGGCTCACAAGTAAAATCTAGATTTTTCTACAATACCTGTTCTGAAAACTGGTTTTATTGTTATAACATTGCAGTTTTCTAAGAAAGATGCTGGCACTTATGAAGTCATACTGAAGGACGACAGAGGAAAGGACTCCAGTGAGCTAAAGCTCAAGGACACAGGTAAGAGTCTGGCTGTGGTCAGCCACACCAGCAAATACCCTGACTGAAGTGGGTTCAGGGTAATACAGGCATCTGCACATGTTGTCTTCCTGTGGCTTTCTTCCTCATGCATACAAAATCATCTGATTAAAAAACCTAAGATTTTTCTGTTCAAATTACATTTAAATACAGCTCATTGCATCTGTATTCTGTATAATTTTGGGAGCATAGAGTGATTAATGCTAAGCATAATGATAACAGATTTCCTGGGGAGACCATCAAAAAGCCTACAAGTATAGAAAAAAATTACAGAACTAGATAATTTTAAAATATTTTTATTATATTTTGCCAATTATTCAGAGGCCTTTTCACATACTGTGATTACTATATTCTTAACATTTCACTCCTATCCATTAGAATGTATATAGATAGGTTAGCATTCCAGCTGAATAGTGTCATTTACAAAAACAAAAATAACATCATCTTGTTCAGCTGCAGCAGCATTCATCAAGACTGCACTTAAATAAAACCTTGAAACTGTAAAATATCAGGCCACATTTCTGAATTACTCAGATTTCTAATATGCTTGAAAAGGTAGATTTTTCAAAGACCGGTTTTTCAGAGTTTCTGGGGAGAATACTTCAGAGACAGTACTTGTCCTACTGTTGACTGTGTTTGAACTGCAGACACAGAGTCTTAGTCTCTGGATTTTATTTCCACAGCTTTTGCAGATCTGATGAATGAAGTATGCAGAAGGATTGGTAAGCACTTAATTCTTTTTTCGAATGAATGACTCATTGTGGCACTCAATGAATGGCTGTATGGCTGCATAAAACCATGTGCTCTTCTTTCAGCTTTATCTGCAACAGACCTGAAAATCCAGAGCACAGCTGAGGGTATCAGACTGTACTCCTATGTTACTTATTATGTGGAAGATTTGAGAGTAGGCTGGGTGCACAAGTAAGTACACAAGACCTTTGCAGTGCAGTTTTGGTTTCATAGATTCAGAAAGAACCTGGATATGAGAGAGAGATGAGGGCCAGGTTTCCTCTCCTCTCTCATGAGTCCTTATTTCATATGAGTTTGTGTCAGTCAATTACACTCATGGAAAATCAGTAAGAGAGACAAGTGGGGTGGTTCCAGGCCCTCCTGTTGCTTCTCTCATGAAAGACAGTCCCATGTCACAGGATGCCAGCAGGATTGCGCTGCTTCAGAGCACTTCCCACCTCCCCAGTGGGAGCTGCATCTTTCCCTGACTCAGTTTTAAGGTATGATGCAAACATAACTGGAGAGACCGTCAGGCTTCAAAAGAGGCCAGCGCCATGGGTTCAGAGATACCTGCCCTGGAGGTCTGCTTGTCTAGAAACCACAATTCACTGGAACTGGAACAAGCAGACATATCCTCTTAATGCATGGCTTCATTTTTAGGAGGCAAATTCCAGCATGTGCCCGGAGCAGTAAAATCCAGACAACAGTTGTTGCAAGTGCTACAAACCTAACCAAGACAGACAGAAGAGATTTTAAAAAAGAATTTGAATGCCCAGCTCCCCATAAAATTAATGGGAGTTGCACATCCAAATCTATGAGACAGCTTTGAGTTCTCAGCCAGCACTAACAGCTTGCACTGGAAAACCCAGAGAAGTAAACAAGAGAAGTAAACAACTTAGATAATTTCAAAACCATTATTCCTGTTTTTGCTGTTTCACTTCCTGTGGACATGATAGTAGTTAGTCTGTATGAGGGAATCTGAATTACTGATCTCTCAATAAAACTCATGTAAATGAGGCACAGAAGATCCAGGATGTGCTGTACCAGGCTTGCTGTAATTATTGACACTGGTGTTAACCAGCACCTTGCCAGAGAAATGAAAGTGATTTGAGGCCTTCTTGTTTCTTGACACCCATTTTGACCTGGTAGCAACAAAAGTCCTAAGTATTTCAAGTAAGTGCAAGAGAGTATAAAGTATTCAAGGAGGCTTTTTTTCCCTCCCTCTCTCTTTCTCTCTTTTGTCCATTTCATTTTTAGAAACTTGTTTCATCTTGAAGCATGTCAAATTAATCGAGGAAAAAAAATTACTTTTTTCCCTCCAGTGCATTCAAAGTTATCAGTTTAAAGATAACAAGGAAATGAGTAGCTTATTTGACTCATCCAGGGAAATTAGCTGCTTAGCCAGGAAGCTAAGAAATTGATTTTGGGGGATGGGGGAGGGAGGTGTTGAGTTTTTGGGTTTTTTGTTTTGTTTTCTGTTTTTCTAATGGAAGAAGATATGCTTATGTCGAATTGTGTTTAAATTCCAAACACAGCAGAGCGTCACAAATCATTCCAGCTGGGCAAACACCATTTCTGACAAAAGTGGGTTTTTTTATAGGTACAGCCCTGTATACTTTTGGTTTGCCCAAGCAGCAATAAACCTATGCTAAAAAGAGAACAGCAACATTTGTGGATGCCTGGGCTAACCTTTAGAGATATGTCTTTTGGACTTGTACAGCTTTTCTATGGCTCAGGTCATAGACTGAGATGCATAATTTTTCTGCAAGCTCTGAGGATAGCTGGACCTTGAACAGGGAAACCTGTCACACCAATTCTGCCCAGCTGGCTCACAACTCTAGCAAGGATTTGACTTCAGAGGTTTCAGAATATGATGGCATACCATAGCATCTTGGAAATCATTTAGAAGTAGTAACTCCAGATGTGCTCTGTGACTCAACATGAGCAAATCCTCATTATACTGCAGTAAAATGAAAAGGTAATGCTGTTTTGTACTTTTCAGTGACACTCAGATTAAGTTCACAGACCGAATGAGGACTGGTGTCACCGGGGAGCAGATCTGGTTGCAGATAAATGAGCCAACGCCACAGGACAAAGGCAGATACATAATGGAACTCTTTGATGGCAGCACAACGCACAAAAAGACGGTGGATCTTTCTGGACAAGGTAGGCCATTCCTCTGCTAACATCACTGCTATGTGGGCAGTATGCTGTGGTAGCATCTACAGCAGGACCTTGCTACAGACGTGTCACCCTTTGGGGTCTGTGTCTGCCCCCACCAGTCTGGCATTTTTAGTAGGTACTGTGTCAATCAGGCCTGACAGAGTTAAGCATTTTTGGACAACACTCTCAGGCACACAATGTAACTCTTGGGGACGGTGCAGTGCAGGATCAGGAGCTGGACTTGATAATCCTTGTGGGCTCTTTCCAACTCAGCTTACTCTGTGGTTCTGGGATCTGTTGTCCCCAACCCATGCCATTTGTTTTCCCCAACCAGTGCTCTCAAATAATAAAATACAAACCACTTTTTCCTACTCCAAATACCCACTTACAATCTGCATACTGAGATGCCAGCCCAGTTTCTGAGCTATTTTACTAAACCCCTTGTGTTGCTGACATGATTGGCAGTTTTAAATATGAATTGTAGCACTGAATGCCTTCAGTGTGTCTCTCTTCCAAGGAATATTTGAAGGAGGAAGTGAGGGACGAGTTTGTTCTGATACTTTCCTACCATATTTCTTTGATGGGTGTAATAAAGCTCCTTATCCTTCAGAGATGCCAAGACCTCTCAGCATGGGGAAGGACAGTTAGGGGAACAATTTGGATTGACTGTTGGTTGGAAGCTTTTACTCTGAGAGAACTCTCAGATCCTAGAGAACAGATTAACTCTTTCCAAACTACTCTTTCCATTCCCAGCTGTTCCCATCCCTAAAGCTTCACTTTTTGCTTGCAAGCTCTGTGTAAGGGTGATAACATTTTAATCACCTCCACGCTGCTCCTTCTGTACTCTATCTCCACTTTCTAGGAAAGGACATTTCTTCTTTCCTTTAAAGCAGGAGAGGTTGACCTCCCCCATGATGGCAGCTGAGTCTGAATTTACAAAGGAGCCAACAATTTGTATGGCTATCAGTGTGATGCTTCAAGCAGATGTGAAAAATCCTTGGAAAATCATACCTCTTGCATTTCATAAACCAGTGGTCTCTGAAATGGGTGTGTGCAAGATGACTCAGTGTGCTTCACTGGGATGGCAGGAAGAATATACGAGAACTTCACTTGTGTACATCTACGTAATCTATAAATAAATATACATAAAGGGAGAGCATTCTCAAAATGATATTAGATAGGGATGTATAATATAAAAAGTTTGGAAGGTCACTGTCATAATGTCATAATGTATTGTGCATATCTTCCTCTCTTTTGTGAAATTACTTCAGCCTATCACTTTCTTGCCCTCTGTCTTAAAGCCTGACTTCTAGAAAAAAAAGTGTGTTTATGCATTCATATGTATATATAATAGCTGTCATATACCAGATGGCCTTTATTAGTTGAACCATTCAGCATTTTAGACTTTGTACAGCACACATGCATGCGTTTTAAGTTTTACATTTTAAATTGATAAAATCTACATTTTAAATCAATTTATTTATTTGAAATTTAAACTTGTGTGATTATTTATCTCTAAACCTACTTTTTTCCTCTTTACAAAGCGTTTGATGAAGCCTTTGCTGAGTTCCAGAGACTAAAGTAAGTATTATGCCATCTAAATACAGTAATGGCAGCCATAAAATAATAACAGTATTTGTTTGTTTTGTGCTGGAGATAACTTTATCTTATGAAACAATTCCTAGTCATTCAGAAGCCCGTAGGAGTTTTGCATGTGATTTCTTTGGTGTAACTCTTATATAATAAGACAGTCAGGTAGCCAAGAAAAAGCTGTATTGCCAAGCAATGAGAGAGATTTTCCTTAATGGATTAAAGGCAGTTAGAAAGATAATCTATTTTTCAATCACTCTGAGTAAACCTTAACTGAAACTGGACTTTCCCCTTGTTTCTTTCAACTCCAGGCAAGCTGCAATTGCAGAGAAAAGTAAGTAGGCCTTCTTTGACAATGGTTGCAATAAACTGTTTATGAAGCTTTTCTTCCTCTCCAGGAAGGTTGTGTGTTGAGAAAGAGAGGGCATGTGTATATGCACGTGCTCATCCTAAAATAAGTTTGTCCTTACACCAAGGAGAAATAAGTGACACTTTGTTGATTTAACATTGGTGCACTTTGCAACTAATCATACTTATGGGTTAGGTTGATTTTTCTCATCTAAGCTTCTGTTCTCAGTATCAGTTAGCCTTCTCTAAAAGCTAACTTTGTTGCTGGGATCTCTCATGCATGTTCTCTGCACAAAAGTCTCTTTGTTTTCAAAAATGGAGAGAATAATTTGGCTAGTTTTGAACGCTCCAAAATGTCAAATAGCTCTGTATAACTTACAGAAACTGGTAAGAAAGCAACAGTATCTTTTCAATTGCTTAGAATCTTCTCACATTTTTGCCTGTATGTCAATTCCAACAGAGCAACTAAAACAGAAGTATGTATTAACTACTTAAGGAGTAAGTTATTAGACTTCAACTTGAATTATTAAACTCATTATCCTCCCTACTTACAGAAGAAGTCATGAAAAAAGGAATTGTTCCACTGCAAATGACTTTCAGACCTGTATAAGAATGAGGGCAGAACTGGCATTTGAAAATTTATTTGAGAAAAATGAGTAGAGAGATAGAGCAGGGCTTGGATCTGAACAGTAACCCCCAAAAGTCCCGACTGAGACAGGGCAAAGGGGTCAGTGATTGTGCTGACCTTTAATTTCTGACCCTGAACTATCCATAAGGCATGTTAACTGTCATAACACAGCTCCTTTCCTGGTCTCCTAAGGCTGTTATCTCTGTGCTCCAGAGCACATCTTTTACAGAACACACTTGAGGGGAACATTCTGTACAGTCATTTCCTTCCCCTGACAGGCTCCACCCAGACATGTAACGAACAAAATCCACATTCCAGAATAAGTGTACTAAAGCCTGCCTGTGATTGGCTTATTTGTGTTTGTCTAAGATTTCTATGGGACTCTCGAGTTTAAAACCAGATCAATCAGCTATGAGTCTCACTTAGACACAGGCACACACAAGTGGTGGAACTTCACTGTTGCTACTGAGACTGAAGTCTGTCTTTGAATCTAGATTAAAGAACAATTTCCAGCACTTCTCAAGGTGTCATTCATTTCCCTTTGAACACACAACGTTTTTAGTTTACTACAGTAAAAATTTTGAGCACCAGGTCCCAAAAATGTATTTTTCATGCACTCAGAATTAAAACTGAATTAATATCAAAGTCTGCAGGACACTGCATGTGTACTTTAATTCCTCTCTGTAAGTGATTGACACCAAATATTAACACATCTTTTGCTGTGAATTCAACATTTTTGGAAGTCCAAATGGTGTGCTAAAAATGCTGGATAGCTCTCTGCTAGCACAAAGACAAGTTGTACATAAATAAGACAAAAGGAAAGCACTAGAAGAGAAACAGAATCCGGCACATAGTTGATTTTGAGACACTAAAGAAAATTACCCTTCTTTATTTCCAGATCGTGCACGGGTACTTGGAGGTTTGCCCGATGTTGTCACCATCCAGGAGGGCAAGGTATAGTAAATTAACTGAAGTGAATTAATTGAATTAATACAGTGAATTAACTGAATCCCAACAGCCTGAATGCCTTTCAATGATGGGAACACGTTCACCTTTTTTTTTTTTTTAAGATGCCATCTTTAAAATCTGCTACATTATTTATTCATCCCCTGCCTTCTGCACATAATTCAATGGACTTGCACAGATGGGTTTATGTATTCAGGGCAGTGTCTTTTCTTAAGAATTAGATAAAAGTGAGATGACAATGTGAGTTGGGACTAAAACTCTTTATATAACCAGCTCTTTAAAAATTGATGCACAGGTTTCACAGTTAGATTTTTTTTTTTATTATTATTTTTTTTTTTGTAACAGGGCATCAGGAAAGTTTACTCTTTTTTTCACCTGGGAGCCAGTCATTCTATGCCTTCTGCAGTTAACTTCTCTGCAATGTGGCATGGTAATCACACCTGTAGAGGCTGGCTTTTAAATGGTGTAACTCAATAACTCAATTCTCATCCAGCCAATAGGATAAAAAATTCTCTATTTCATCAGGGAAAGGAGAAGAAAGTCAAAATAAGTCACTGGTGCTATACTGGATTATATTAGGAGAGTTTAGCTGAAAGATGATGGTAAGGCACTCGCAGAGGATGCTTGAGCGCAGAACAGGTGACCCAGAAAGTGAGTTCTCAATCTCACAACCTTTTCCCAGCACACTGTTTCTACAACTTGCTTTTTAATAGGACTGAGACATAGTTTAATAGGACTGAGACAAAGAAGTGCCTGCTCTTCACTTCCTGCTGCTCTGCCACAAGCCAGTTCCTCTCCACAGTGTGTGCAAACAGTGAAATAGGGCATGTGAATGTCACTGAAAACCTGTAATGTGACAACTGCAGTAAGGCAGCTTCCTGGTATTTCTGGCTTTATCAGTCAGTAGGTCAGCTGGGTTAAAAGAATTTGATTATAAGCTCAGCAGAAGTGTTAAGAATCTAAAATCTTATTCTGAAACGCTTAACAGCGTGAGATACAGCCAACAAGATAGTAGAGTGCAGAAGTTCTGGGAAAATCAAGTATGTTGACATTACAAAATAAAATTCTTTAACAGATTTAGCAGTTTGAGAAATGCTGTCAAGTAAGAAGCACTCGTGTGAGCATTGTAACTGTAGACAGAAGATACAAAGGAACAGAATGAATTAGCAGATTCAGAAAGCTAATCAGTGCTTGGAGGCGTGATTCTCATAATGCTTTGGCAGGGTGTAAACTTGGGCTGTAAACGATTACCAGTTTTAAGCTTTCAGCCAAAGGACAGTTGATATGAACTTGTGTATGAGTTCACTGAAGCAAAAAAAAGTAGTGTTTATAAAATGAGTTTGTAAAAAATGAGTTGCAAAGTCTTACCCAGACACATGTTGTCCTTGACAGCAAGGACATTAGTAACGTTTGAATACATGGCTGAAATACTCCCAGAACTCGAGACAAATATCCTTGACCTTACATTTCTTGATTCAGTAGAGGACTGTTTTGAGTAGGACAGAGAGTGATCAGGAAAAACAGAGCTGGTCTGGGTGGTGTTGGCTCATCTGTCTGGTGTTTGCATATATGCTGGAGAGAGGAGAATGCAATTCTCTGTTGTGTAATCATGCAAACTGCACAATCACTGAGGATTTTGTAAAACAGCAAATGAGGTAGCAGAGGTCTGGCAAGCTTTGATTGTGAATTCTAGTACCACCATAACCACAGACTAATATGAACTGATTGGTATTCCGAGATTGAACTTAGATATGCATATCTCAAATTTAAACTTCACATTGTGACTGTGATGCTATTTGTTAGCTTTCTACATGTGAGCTGAAGGGTATGGGTGAGAACGAATGAACCAGTGTTTACTGAGTGTTAATCAAATTGCATTCCAGATGGCCTAAGAGGCTTCCACTGATAGACATAAATGCTCCTCAGCAGTGTGGTATAATTGGAAAAGGCTAAGTGTCAGTTCACATTAAGGAGGAATCTGACCTGACAGAGAATGCTAGCATAAGTTTTGTGTCCAGCCAGACAACTTAACCTAAGTGCCTGTTTTAATGAAGGCCTATAAATGGGTGAAGAGGCTTAGAATTCTGTGAGGCACTTTCAGATACAGAAGCAATATGTAACATCCTTCTTCCCACCAACTCACTATTCTACCCTTCTGCCAGGGGTATAGATCCTCACAGATAGGCTGGAAGAACAGAGTAGATTTCCTTGAAGGTTTCAGTCCACTCACCAAACCACCCATGACTGTGACTGTGTGCTAATATAAAAGAAGAATGGCAATTGAAATACAATGACACACTTCTCTCTGCCACATGTACTACCCTATTCATGATAATCTGCAGTAAAAGGCAGAAGAGGTAGCGAGAGGCACAAAGGGTCTGAACTTGCACCTGCTGGTTGCTTCAAGTGGACATGACTCAATGCCCTGGGCTCAGGAGTATAGGGCACACTTCTTTTGCCATAATGATATCAGGTTGAACACAGTATTATAATCAAGGGTTTCAATGAGTAATAAATTTATACATGAGCAAAGACAATCTCTTAGCCAAAGAACAGAAATCCAAGACATATAAGTGCAGTCACAGTGAACAATAATTTCTGCTTGGCTATGGAATTACCTTCCAGAAAACTGAAGATCTCTCCATCTACAGTGAGTGAATTATAAGACACATCTCTACACATTAGTAGATGGAAAATAAATAAAAAGAGCTGGGAACATCAAGAGAATCACTCATACCAAACAGGAGCTAGTGATGCAAGGTTAAGGAAAATGTAGCTATTTTAAGGAATGATTTAGAAGAAGAAAAGGATCATCACTGCTGCTTGAATCTCTTTGAATTAAGGAGTATGACACCACTTCAAACACCCCAGCTTTGAATGATGCCACTAATGGAGCTGTGTGGACATGGGCATCAGCTTATTAGCGCTGTGCTGGAGTCACAGCGGGAGCTACTTGGTGCTGAGCTCTTGCTTGCTTGAGAATCAGAAGACAATAATGAAATACTGAGCACCTGAAGGGGTCCATATGCATTGCCCAGCTAAGGCTGAGGGCATGTTGGTATTCAGAGTAACAAGGAAGAGGGGGAAACATAAAACCTCTCGTTTTCCACTTGTTTTTCAAAAAGACAGATTCATATGTCTATCAAAACCACATTCACACCTGCAGGCTATGAGAGAAGGGACTCAAGAGCTCCACATGGTCACCAGCTGTAGGTGCTGCAGGAAATCAGATAGAGGCCACTTCCACTATGCCATAACCACCTCTCACTTGGAATCTGCCCTCCTTCAGTGCCAAGAATTACATATTGCTGATAGAGGAAAGACTTTCCCTTCCCTTTTGCTCTCATTTTGGTCCTTAGTTTGGGCACTTGGGGATTTTTATTTTGTTCTCAGAGATAGCAACACCTTTCACTTTTATAGAGGCATCAGTTTTTTTGTCCACTCATTTCAACAGCCTTTCAGATATCTCTGTTCTGTCCCATCTTCTACTATCACATTACTGGATAAGAAGCAGTGAGTTGGAGGGAAGGCTGGAAGAGATACTTGATTCCAGTCAAGTGAAATCTTGTCTACTTTTTATTTATCACTTAATCCATTCCTAATGAAGCACTGAAGATCATTTTCTTTGCAGTAAAAGTCCTTCAATTTCCAGTCCAGTTAGACTCTTATTTAAATGGCATTTTAAATTAAGACCAGTGTACTATCTAATACTTCACATAAATAAATCCCTTCCTAAATAAAGTTCCAGAGAAAGGACTATGTACCACTGAATTGTCATGTGAACTTTTTTCACATTTCACTCTCTGTGTGATACTTATTTTTGCAAATATCTCTTTTTGAGAAGACTGCCATAGCACTGTGACAGGCAATCATTTGCATGTGTCAATATCTCCCAAAAGTTAATTTCTTAGCTGACAAGAAAAAAAAGAAGGCCTGTGCAAAGTGTGCCCAAGAGACTCACCAGCCTGCTGAAGGTAGAAGAAACTGCCAATGACCTAACAATATGATTCTCTAACAGTGAAGATACTTCCTACAGGCTGATGGGACTGTATTCAGTCCTTTGGAACAGTACTAACATCAAAGGGAAATACTTACATGAACACCAAAGAATGACTTAAGCCTGTATTGATTTCAGTTAAAAATAGTTTTACAGAAGTGCATAAAACACTTCAAGTGTTAGAAGAGCTGTCAGGGCATAGTTTAAAAGGATCCCAAATTAAACAAAATATTCTAGGGCCACTTTGCTCTTAGTTATTTGAAAAAGCAGGCACATTTTCTTTATATATATAGTGAGCTTAATGTGAACAAAACCATCTGACAGTTCATTAAAATCTCATTTCAGGTCTAACACACAAATGCAGATAAAATCTAATTTTGTATTAAAAAATATGTATGGAGAAACCTCTACCAAGGATTATGAGAGTAGAGAAGAAGGTCTATAAAATATTGAAAGGTTTTAATGGCATTTTTGAATTAACTGAGTTCCATCTTTTCCTTTATGATAGAGAAGAGTGAAATAAATTATTGATTACTGATGATGGTATGCATCCCTTTACTAAAAGCAGGAAGCTAAATGGGAAGTCAGAATATTTGGAGAGTCAGGCATCAAAAAACACAACAAATATTTACTGACTCATGATTCCTTTGTACTTTTTCTATAGGCACTTAATCTTTCTTGCACTGTCTGGGGGGATCCCACCCCCGAGGTCTCATGGCTGAAGAATGAAAAGTCATTTGTATCAGATGCCAATTGCATCCTGAAGTTTGAATCTGGAAAAAATGTCAGCTTTTCCATTTCTACTGTGTCGACACAAGACTCTGGGAAATACAGCATTGTGGTGAAGAACAAGTACGGTACAGAGACCAGCGATGTCACTGTAAGTGTGTACATACCTGAGGAAGAGAGAGAGTCTGAGCAAGAGAAAAAGCAGTAGGTTAAAATGAAAGTGTGAATTTAAGTCTAGAAGACAGAAGTACAGGAGAGATTTTGGACGTTAGGCTGATATAATCTATGTGTGTAAATGGCTTTCTGCTTTAGCAGGCAGCTTTGGATTTTTCCATTCACTTCACATTTGCTTCTAATACACTTATTTATGCCAGGGAAAACCGGGCCTTTCCTAAATGTTTTCTTACTGCTAACTTCACAGAAACTAATTGTAGCATTGTAGCATTTTAAGCAAGGCCAAATGCATGCTGTCTGTAAACACATGCGTACCATTTGACCCTCTTCCTGGAGCATCTTGAAGGTCAAGAATTGTTTTAGTGGAAGCAACTAATGAGGTAGATGGAAAGATCAAAAATGATCAGGGCGTATTTGAGCAGTAGTTAGGATTTGTTCTAGCTTTGGTATAGCAGCATAAATTGAATGTGTTAGATCATGGAGAAATGATTGCTGGTTTTGTCTGTGTTAAGGCCCTGTTGTATTGCTGTGTTAATTTAGTGAGGCCTTAATATGAGTGTCATTTACAGCCCTAAATATTGTTTAATCTTCCCAAACAGGGTAACAGTACTGTAACATAAATGAAAATAAGGCTTAGGAGGCCAGGATAATAATATGTTTGTGTGTGTGTCTGTAAAAGTGTATGAACTCTGCTCTGTGTTCACAAATAAACTGAATTCACTTCTTTCCTTCCATCACAAGCTTGTTTCACTGCGTCTTGTTTTATTAGTCACAGCTCGTGTAGTTGTGCACAGTATCTTAGTGTCTTAATGCTTTCATCACTGTAATTACCTCCAGCTTCCCTTTAGATCCCTGGTAATCTTCACTTTGCTGTTTGCAACAAAACCACAATGGCATCTCTTCACACCTCTCTGTCCAGACCTGCATGCTTCACATCTTAAGTCAACAAGGTATTTTCTGCAATTTCTGTCACAGGAGTAGTCCTATGCTTTTCAATGCACCTGGGCATGAATTGTGATTTAAGGGCGATACCTAAGTATTTTGTTAGATAGAAAAGTCAGTTAATTTCATTGAAGTTTAACACTGGAGATTCAGAAATAATATATTTTATAAAGATCTTTTAAAGCTACAAAAAAAAATCTTCACTGCAAAAAAAAAAAAAAAAAAAGCTGGGGTTTTTTTGGTGGTGTTTTTTTTTCTGGTTTTTTTTTTTTTCTTTTTTCTGTTACACAAAAATGAGAAAAAAAACATTAGTCCAGATCTTTGAATGCACTTAACATAGATTAAAAACTCCATGTCTGCTATTTTCCAATGCCACTGATTATATCAGCTGAGGAAAAGCAACAGAACCTGCTGGACATATATATGATATATACATGTGATACTATACGGATAGGATAGGAGTAGAAGCAGTAGTCAGCCCAATTGCTATTTAGGAGAGCAATGTCCCATGCCAATAAATGTTTTCATTACTAGTCTCACAACAGCACAATTGTTCACATCAAAATCTGAAGAACTAACAAATATATTTTCAGTCTAAGCATGATCTCTGTGCACCTTTCATGTACTCTCTCTTGTCTTTTCTAGCTACTGTGACTGCAGAAATAGTGCTGCAGTCCCAAGCACTCACTTTGGTGCAGTACTGGCATTTCTGTGGGGATGCCACTACTGAATATTGTACAGTTCACACTCACTTAAACCCTTGCCATGTGAGTTTTATGTCAGCTAATGTTAAAGGAGAAGTGGAAGCTCAAAGGAATTCTTAATGGTTCAAGTAAAAATAGATTCAACACAGTTACCAATGATGAAAATGCCAATTTTAGCAATTTATTTTTTTAAAAATCAGTTTCTATAAAGAGACAATGATTATTATCTTAATCTTGTAAAAATAATCCATATTTAGATCAGTTTTATGAACTACTGAAACGTTAGCATGTGCCTGACTTTAGTGCATGTGCTTGCATTAATAGTATCACTAGTTTCAAGGAACACGTCAAGTTTATCTGGTGTAAGCCTCTTTTTCTTCCAGAACAGATTTCACATCACAGGGATTTTTAACATGAAATTTTGCAAAAACAATGTGGTTTTGGTGTTTCACATAAACAGTGTATGTGTTCACATAGCCTTATCTCCTAAAATTAACACTCAAGCATCAAAATTGGTAACATTATTACATTTTTAAGGTGTGTGTAACTATATCCTTTAATGAATCAATATCTGTTACCAAAAAAATGGTAATTTTCAGATTATCTAGTCACAGCAGCTGAGTAAAACAGAAAAAGTAATAAGGCTTAATTTCAAAAAGTAATAAGCCTTAAATTTCAAAATATAATCATGAGAAGATCTGTAATTTGAGACAGAGCAAACTTCCCAATTTAAAAGAACTAATGCAAAATTATTTTATAACATGAAGCCAATCCGAGAATGATATGCAGGTCGCTCCATCTTTGTCCCATGACATACAACATACAAATAACAGAGCCACTGCTCTTCCATCCTCCAGAGTGCAAACAAGAATATGACCAGCTCTTTGCAATAACGGATGCTTATTACTCAGTATTATTTTTAACCATGTTTTAAGTTTTTTTTCTACCACTTTATTTTCAAAAATCTGTCCTCCTGCCTCCCTCATTTTGGCAGAACAGCCAGGGAATACAAGTGGGTCACCTCCCAGGTAACAGGCTGGATTCTACTTTGCTTTGATTTGGCAGATGTGTGAGTCCCTGAAAGTTAGAGTATTAAGTTGCTTCAAAAGGTGTTACTTCCAGGGATGCAGTTATAGTGATATCAGGCTGAATTTGTGATGCATCCACATGTCTTGCTTGTGCATGTTTTGTTCTTGCTTTGCTTCAGGTGATTGTGATGCCTGTGTCAGGGCAGACTGACACAGCCCAAGGACACAGTCAAAATAATAAAACTGTATCTAAAAAGAAAAAAGCAACGACAGCAAACAAACAGAAGGAAGTGGGAAAGAAAGGTAAGAGTGCTTTCACTGTTGGAGTCTTCCAATGAAAAATTTGTTAAATTATTATGGAGTTGTCCGTGCCAATCAATATTTCATAGCTCCCAATCAATCATACGCTCTTAATCAACAACAGATGCAGAGTATGAATTACCAGGTTAGATCTAAGTGAAAGAGACTTAAATATTTTTAAACCACCTTTTCTTCTTCCACTGGAAGTTGTCACCTTGCCTAAACTGGCTGACAGAAGTTTTTTAAGTCATAATAAATACTTCTAAATTTCTGAGTGCAGAGGAAAGCCTTTCTAAGCATGTATACACACACAGATGGGTGTTATTTTCCAAACTGAGGCTTATTTCAGCAGCTAGATGTTTGATATTTCACAAAAAATAAGGCCTTGCTCAGGGGCCCTAAATGCCTAAGTCTTTTAGAAAACCTTGACTGTTTAGCCACTAATTGAGATTAATCAATTATTCTCTCCTAGTTTTATGTCCATATTGAATGGTAAAGTTGGAGTTATAAGTGACCATTTTTTGTCTCATTTAGAGGAAGGGTAGAAAATTAAAAGCTCTCTGGTGATTCAGCATTCTCATATATCACTTGTATATTGTTTCACTGTTTTTTTTAGACTCTTACTATAGAATTGCTATTAGGACAATGATTTATTCTTCACAATTACATCTCTCATACAGAGCATTTTAGTTATAAATCAGTCTTAAATTCTGACAATATCAGAACACCTGTTTTACATATTTTTGCCCAAGTATTTTTTCTTTGTATACAGGGTGTATACATGTTACATAATTTCTGACAGAACATTTTATACTTCTATTCCTTTTTGTTCCTAAGGCAAGAACAAATATTTTACAGCATTTCCTTCCTCTCTTGCCTTACTGGTATGGTAGACTTTTCTGAGCAATCCTGTAAATTAGGTGACTTAAGTGGGAAAAAATTATTTCTGTAAATGTTTTCCAGTACCTACCTCTTAATCATTTTAATTAGCGACCATAAATACTTGGCCTTGGTTTTGGTTCCATAAGAAGTAGTAATGTTATGTGTGATACTGCATGTCTTTATATGGGTAGAGAAAGAGGAAAAGAACATGATAAGGTCATAACCAATGTGAAAGAAATGTTGCTGAGCACAGTAAATATTGTTACTTAGGATTACTCAGAAATTTTATTACTTCTCCTAAATCAGATTTTATTAAGCCACACATAGAAGAAATTACTGCTACAGAAGAGACACCTGATCCAAATGAAATGCCCCCTGTGGAAACAGAAAAGGATACAAAAAGCAACCAGTGAGCAGCAAAGAAGACTGCTGGAAAGGCAGGAGTAGCAGAAAAGGTTCCTCAACCCACAGAAAGCTTGGATAGGCAGGGAAAGAAACCACCAGAAAAAGCAGCCTTGGGTAAAACCCACTGAACTTCAATGAAGAATGTGATCCTGTCATGAACAGGATAATAAGTTCAGTCTGAGATTTCATGAGTGGTATCTTAACCACAATATTTTAATACAGTTTATTAATAGAGTTTTTTTTGTAGTTTGTAGTATTTCCTAACTTTAAATTTAAATGCGTAGTAGATGGGCATTTACGTCTTAGTACCAGATGACTGCACTGCAAGAATTTCTAAGTATCTGAATAATCATAAATGTACTGTCAATGTGATTTTAATTACTAAAAAATGTCCATTAGAGGTACAGTTTATTGAAGCAAATACTGTCCAGAACTGACATACTTACTATGGTGTAAAAGAATGTTGGCTGTGTTAATCAATATTTATATCTTGATTATTAAATAATCAATATTTATAAGCCACCACAGCTTGAGGCAGATGCTGCTTACTTTTTCAAGGAAATGATATATACAGTCCTCTTCATGCCATGTGGGCTCTACTTTTCCCATGACCAGTTTGGCCACAGTAGAAGATCTCCAGAAACAGAACCATCTCCTGTGGGTGCGGGGGGGGCATAAGTAGTAGTTTTCTTTTGATCCAAGTTTCTTTCATGCAAACCTGTTTCATCAGGTGGATCAGGACCACATCTGGCCATTTCTTATCACCAAAGCTCACATGACTACTTTCCCGTCCTCTCCACTTCATTAATTCCCTTAAATCCTTCATGAGTTACTGTGGATAATAGCATTAACCCATGAAGTATCAGCTGCCCCACATGCTCATTTTCCTCCACAATTTTTGCCACAGCACTCAGCTTTCTGATAAACTCACTGCTCTTCTTCCTCAGTGGTTCAGCCCAAGACTATCCCTTCTTCCACTCACTGTCATCATATCCACTGGTTTCTTATAAGAGAGTGTAGCTTCATGGTCATGTAAGTAAGGAATACATTCAAGGCAAGAATCTCTGCATTAAATCATTGCTGTGCTCATTCACATTCACTACTGTGTTCATTCACATGTTTATGTACTGAGGATATAGGAAAATATGACTCATTTGCAAATGCTTAGATACCATGGAAGAAGCAGAGTTCATGCTGAAAAACAAACCAATAAAAATAAAGGTCAGAATTTATTTTGTTGCTATGCAAGCTTAAAGTGACCAGGTAGGAAATGAAAATACTTTTATTACTAGGAAAATATTTATATTGTTTTCAACTCTAAGAAGGCTCAACCATATTGTATTGTCTTTTTCCAGATGGGTTATTGATGAAAGGTCACTGAATTCCACTGGTATTTCTAGGTGCTAGAGCTATGACTAGTGTAGAAATACTGAAAACACAAGAAAGTTTCTAATCCATCCTTATAGAACTTTTAGCAAAAAACCCCAAAGAGTCTCAATGGCATATACATGCATATAAGTCAAGATGCTGATATCCCGGATGAGAAGAAATTAATTTCCTTCTAGTAGAATTCCAATAGGATTCTATTCAACTCTTTTTAAAACCAACAGAAATTTTGTGGCTGGATGAAATACTGGATAGAACACTTATATGTAGGCAGGTAGAGTAATAATGTTTCTGTAAACAACGTAAAGGGTTTAAATAACTTGGATGGTCCATAGCGAGTGACAGAGGGATGTAGGATGCAACAGAGAAAAAATTGTAGAAATCAAAATACTGACTTCTACACAAAATGGTGTTGGGAGAAACTTAAATGCAGACTGAACTACAACTAAAATCATGCAGCTACACTTAGGTACTGTTCGACATCGAGATTGGCTCAGTTCTTCACATTTTTCTCTAAATCTATGTATTACAGCCCAGCAGTGAAGGACATAAGCATAGGTCCACCAGAGAAACACAGTAAGGAGCATTTCCATGGCAGGACACCCAAATGCAAGTCATTTCTCATGCAATTATTACAGAAAATGATAAATATCTAGAGATGTGCAATTCTATCACTCTGTCAGAGTTACAGAGAGTGGCCCTTCAAAAGCAGTACAAAGCTGCAGGTTGTTTCACACAACTCTCCCTTGCTGTGGCAATTATTTCAAGCTGCCTTACATCTGTAAAGATCCATCACCTCTCACAGCTCCTTCGGCTTGGGAGCCTGTCTGCCACAAACACCAACGGCAGTGAGTAAGTTATATATAGAACAGACTGTACCACTGAGAGCCTGATCCAATTCCTGCAAAATGCCGCAGGGGTCTTTTCATTAGCTTTAATAGAAATCAAGCTGGATCTCGGAAGAATGTTCTAAAAATGTCCCAAATCTCAGATTACGAAGCCCATTTTTCTCACCGTGAAGCCAATAGCAGATCTCTCTTTTGTGTCATTGTAGCAGAATCAGGTCTCAGCTTTTTGCTGCAAGAAAAATCACTGTTTTTCTGATATTTCAATTAAAACCTACTGGAAATAGCTTTAAAATTTTAAACTAAAATGCACTAGAGTTTGGGGATTTTATTTTTTTAAATTTGGATGGTTTCTCATAAAGCTGGAAATGGAGTCAAATCAGTATTGCTCCACAGGAATACATCTGCTATCCAGAAGAACAGTGTAGTTATGCACAGTAATGAGGTAAACATATGAAAGATTACCCTCTTTTTTTTATTTTAATTATTTAAGCTGTAGTGGTTCACAAATAGATAACAAAATGTTCAAAATCAATATTAACAAAATTGTTGAGTATACTAAAGCTTATTATGTTAGTGTGGTTGAATAATTTCTTCCTTGCATTTTAAATGTATTATTTATACTCTATTCTCCATTATAAGTATGAAAAATTGTTTCAGTCTCTGTGCATTACATAATGATAGAATGCAAATTATTTCTGTAGCAACACAATCTCCTATCAAACATACAGAATCATTTGACTACATTTAAACTCAGTCACTGGATGCAATATTTATCTGAAGTGCACTTCTCTTTACTTTCTTATTTCTCACCTACATGTTCCCTTTCAGCACATATTACTCTTTAAATTTATAACTCTTACAGAAATTCATGTTCTCGTGTTATAAGAACTGTATTTAACGACAAGGAAAAGTGTTGCAATAAACTATATTATCCAGTCACCTTCTAAAACCACAAAGGATGATTTTTGAAGATGAGAAAGGATGAGAAAAATAGGCTTTGACTTCCACTGCAGTAGACACACCGTGATTCCAGCTGTCCTTGAATTCTTCTGGATTTGTTAGCCAATTATTGAGGAAGATCTGTCTGTGCTCGGAGACTGACAGACATAATTTGGTAATACATTAAGCCGTAATCTTTGAAGCAGCTAGTTGCAAACTGAGATCATCCTTAAACTAGCATAGAATGTACTTCTGCTCTTTGCCCTTGAACAACAACTATAAGGCAAATACATAAATGACATCCCATTTAATCTGCACTTCTACGGGACAGATACCTGCAACACAGTTCCCCACAGTTTTTTGTTTGTTTGTTTGTGTGTTTTTGTCTTTGCTAAAAGGACGTTAAATTTTAAGAATTGAAGCAAAATGTTGTCCAGGGCAAAGAGCCACAAAGGCTGTAAAGAGAAAAATGTTAGAAAAAACTCCATTTCACAAGGGCTTCTACAAATAAAGGTACTGTGAGAGAGACAATAAGGGGCTGATGGAGAGGAAGGAAGGCCCCAGATTTGGGTGCAATCTTCTCCTGACTTTTGCCCTTGTCTCACTTTCCATTTCATTATGTGAGAGCTCTTTCCTGTAATTTTCTTCTGCAAACTTCCAAATGAAACACCTTTTCTTCCTTCTTTCCCAATCTTGCATCTTCTACCATCCAATTTGAAACAGTTATTTCCATTTACCATTTCATCACTCACCCTACCAGAACCAGAATAAAACCTCCTGCTTAATTAGGCTGTGCTTTAGGCAAGGATAAGGAGCTTCTTAACAGAGGCCTGAAATCCTATCATATCTACTATCAGAAAATCGTTTGTGAAACACCTGCTAATGGTTGACAAGGAATGAAGAAATATTACTCATAAGAGACTTGATCTGAGTGTGCTGGCTTAGCAAAATATATTAAGTTTATACACAAGTCCATCAATTTTTGGGACTATTGGTATGCTTAAAAATTTTGGTGGATCAAGGTATAGTTCCTTACAGCCCTGAATCATCCTTGCTATTAACTTCTTTCCTTTTTTTTTTTTTTTTTTTTTCTCTTAAATGGAAATAAAAATATAAACATAAACTAAACTTAATTAAATCATAACATCCAGTCATAAAGTCATTCTGATCTGAGACTGATCTGATCTGATCTGATCTGAGACATCCAGATCTAAAGTCATTCTGATCTGAGACATGTTATGGAAAATGCTTCTGAGAGACATGTGCAGGGCATGACTAAGAGGCAGAGGTAAGGAGTCTCACAGGTTTAAGATACAATCCTGTCTGCTGTGGTATGAGCAGGGGTGGGTATAGAATACATGACTGCTCCAGAGAGTGGTTTCTTTCTGAGTGTTGTACGTGTACAAACAGACAAAATGACAAAATAGTATCTCATCACTAATGTCAGCTCTTTTTCTGCCTTATGTGCAGGTAGCCTGAAGCAGGCTGCCTCTTTCACACACTGCTGCTTCCAGACATGATCCTCAGTTGAAGAGCCAGAGAGACACTGATTTACATATGGCACTGGGTAACATACTTTCAAATTACTTCCTCTCCTCCAAAATAACCACACCAGTAAGCAGCTGCTCTCATCACGCCCTCCCCTCTCCCTGGTGGGGGAAACAACAGTGACATTTGTGGTGAATAGGCAAAATGAACATAAATGAGGTCGCAGGTTAGCTGTGCCCTGAAGGCCCTGGATTAACCAACAGTGAGTTGTGGTTCAACAAGGACCACAAATGGTGCATGGATGTAGAGAGCTCCTGTCTACACCACTCTACACACTCACAACAGAAACCAATCCCACTTGATAGACAGAGCTGTGGAAAATGCAAGCCATTTTACAGCTTGATTGTAATCTTCAACGTGTAAGTGCAAAAGAGGAAAGAATACGAAAGGAGAATAATGAGGGATGTTTGCTTCAGTAGTCCTGATTGCGTAGAGGTGATAATTTTGGAATGGTAAATGTTTCCTAAAGGGAAGACACTGTGTTTTCAAATAAATGCTCTTTACTCAGAAACACCTCTTCCAGGTTTGAAACAGCAAAGTATGATCTACCCATTTGTTACCCCTTTTCAAGTAAAGATTTTTCTGGCTTATTTTTATAATAGGATTTAGCTTAATGTCAATATTTGAGAACACATGACAGATTTAGCCCCTACCTCTTATCTCCCTGTGAACAGGGCTGTCTGGTGTTGAAAAAGAGAATCCCCTCCACTAAAAAAATAACTTCTTGTTCCAACCAGCAAAGATAAGATCACAGAAACACAAATGAAAATACTCTGTTAGAGCAATTGCTGAATAGGTTACCCTCACAGACTGTGAGACTAAGATGCCAAATAAGGAACTCGGCAAAGCAGGGAAATGATCTGCAGACTGTGTGTTTGTGACAGATGTTATGCTAATGTGGCTAGGTAATTATTATTGCAATGCTATACTCAAACAGGAGGCCTCTTCAGAAAACTGCTGCAGCTGAAAAATGGTTGAGCTGACGGGTGGCAAATTGCTCCATTACTCTTTGTTGCTTCCACGTATCCGGAGTCCCGGAAAGTGTTCCAGTTGACTCAGAATTCCTGACATGACAATAATATCATCAAAATGGGCAGGCGTGAAATCTGACCTTCCTTTTTACATACCCATAATATAGTCACCCCCATCCATGTAATTCTGTGTTTGTGCCTTCTTCCATGAAACACTTTCCTTGAAAACCCAGCATGCATGTTATGCAGGGATAGATTTGTTTTAGTTGTATGCTCAAAGGGATTTAAATATATTATCTGCAAATAAGCAAACTCACTGGCTATAATCTTTTAGGCAGCTTGTCCCAGGAGGTACAGATGAATAAACTGACCTTATCTCTTTGTAGAACTGGTAAAAAAAGATTGTCAGGCGTCTTTTAAGAGATACATGGACTATCACAATAAATTTTGTCTATATATTACTTTGCATGCTAGCATGTCTTTTTGTCAGTTTCCCTGAATACTCTGACAACCAGCTTGATTTCTCATTATGCGGCAACTACATGAAACCTATGTGAAAACCTAAAAATGGCTCTAACACCAAGTGGGGCAAAGCCAGCTTTTAACAAAACTTTTGTCAACAATTGGTGGATGAAAAAGTAGTTGGTAGGCAAATGAAATATAATATAATAAAGAAGCAATATGAGTAGTGATAAAGACTTGATTCCCATTTGTGAAACCCAAATTGTATTTCCAATTATGCTGCTTCTCCTCTTCTTTACCCTTTTTTATGGTGCAAGCTGTTTGAAATGAAAATATTACAGTGGTTTAGTACCTATTATGTCACAGTATCATTTGGGGCCTCTGGGCAATAGTGTGACTCAGGTAAATAATAACACACCACCAAACCAACTTCAGCAAACAGTGGTGTGAATCATGAAAGCATTGGCAAATGAAGCTGCTGTCCTGAAATGCATACACAGCCTGCTGGACATGTTCTGATTTTGCAATTCTGTACTTTCATTACAAAATATATATATTTATAACAGAATCACTGGATTAATTATGTTGGAAAAGACCTCTGAGACCATCGAATACAACCTACGGCCAACATCATTGTGTCAACCAGACCATGGATGGCACCGAGTGCCACTGTCCAGTCTTTCTTTAAGCACCTCCAGGGGTGGTGACTCCACCACCTCCCTGGGCGTCCCATTCCAATGTCTAGCCACCCTTCCCATGTAAAAAATCGCTCAGATGTCCATCTAAAACCTCCTCTGGAGCATTTTGAGACTGTGGTATACAGCTATAGAAAGACTACTGCATAATACTTATATGTATATATACATGCATGTCTGTCTGTCTGTATATTTGTACGTATGTATACAGATGTGCATAAATAAAAAACATTTTCCCTCCTCCTGTGTGTGTGGGCCGGTAACTTTCAGAAGGAGGATGCAGTGACAGATGTACGAAGTGGCGAACACCGTGAAGGCAGCGCGGTGCTAATCCACGAGGCGCTAATCCGGAGCCCCGGCTATACAGAGCCGCTCCCGAGAGGGCTCCGCTGCCGATCCCCGATCCCCGATCCCCGATCCCCGATCCCCGCTCCCGAGGGGCCGGCCGGGTTCCCGGCGGGAGGCTCCGGGATGCGGTACGTGCAGCCGGGG